TATTTTTTTGAGTCTGAATTTATCATAGCTTGTAACACGAGTCACAAGCCGCACTAAGGTGTGTAGGAGTTGATTGTATAGATGAGCTTTACTTACCTGAGGTTAAGGCTGTGTCTAGTCATGTGATTTTTCTACTTGCGACCTAATTTGAGATGTACCCTTTTTATGTTTTAATGACTCCTGATATCAGTGCTTGTATTTAATAGGCTTGTCTAGTAGCTTTTTTAGCCGTTAGGCTTAGTTGAAAGTTTAGCAAAATGTTATATATTTAATATTGTTAGCATGAGTTGTGGTGTGAAGCTTTTTTATACCAACTTTAGAATAAATGAAATCATTTCTCGTTCTAATAGCACTTTGTGCTATCTTTTTGTTAGAGGACACGGCACTTTGTTGTTAATAATCTCAACCTATCTTTCTTTCCTTTTTAGGTTTACTCCATGTTTTCTGTTGTTGTTGCCGATTATATTTTGTAGAGTTTATATTGTTCAAATACTGGTAGCATCCTTTGTTCATGCTTTTATAGTTTAAGATATGTCTAGCTATGGAAAAACATGCTTATTTGGACGTGGATATCCTATCCACACGCAACAGCTCATTATAAAACTATACCTATCCACATGTAACAGCTCATTGTGAAACTACCTATCCAGGTGCAACTGCTCATTATGAAACTATACCTATCCACATGCAACAGCTCATTATGAAACTATACCTATCCACATGGAAGAGCTCATTATGAAACTATACATATACAGATGCAACTGCTCATTATGAAACTATACCTATCCAGATGCAACTGCTCATTATGAAACTATACTTATCCACATACAACTGCTCATTATGAAACTATACTTATCCACATGCAACTGCTCATTATGAAACATACCCTTATCCACATGCAAGAACTCATTATGAAACCCAGCTAGTGCAACAACTCCATAGCAACCCACCCCTACCCACATGTGGTTGCATAACAACAGCCTTGATACTTGTAGCTCACCCAAATCCCCGCAGCTTTCCCCCACCGTGCGCCACCCTGGATATGCCCCAAATCGTGACTTCAGATAATTGTCATGTCAATAGCCGCGTTAAAGATTGGAACAAACTGCTGCCGACAACAAAACATGAAAGTTGGAATCGTGTCAGCCGAGTGGGATAATGCTCCACTCGTCAATGGTCGCTTAGGGTTTCCCTGTATCAATACTCCAAGGCTAGTTGCGCTACAAGTAGGTTTACCGATGCACGCTTTCTGATGCTTGGGTATTTTTTTTATTTTTTAAACTTGCGTCATATCGTCACTTGCCCTTTCAAAAGTGATGGGGGGAAAAAACAACAAATCCAATATACACGAAGCTTCCGAATTGAACGGGGAAAATATAATTTACATGTGTTATTTGCCGGCAGTTGGACTACCTTAACGGCTGTGTTAGCTAGTCGTCTTCGGAGTTTTCATTACCGGCTGTCTAGTCTCTGGGCTAAACTTGATTATATTTTCTGCACCTTTCCTCTAGGCTAAACTTGATTATATTTTCTTCACATTTCCTGTAGGCTGTAGGCTAAACTTGATTATATTTTCTGCACCTTTCCTCTAGGCTAAACTTGATTATATTTTCTGCACCTTTCCTCTAGGCTAAACTTGATTATATTTTTTCACATTTCCTGTAGGCTAAACTTGATTATTTTGCTCACTTCATACTAGTTTATTTCTCGTATAGTTATTTTACTTTACCTAATCTTAATAGTTCGATTAGAAATAAAAAATAAATTCATGTTGTAGTGGAATTGGCTAATTATTTAATATATTTTATTCTGATTTCGTCTAAAATCTAAATGCTTAGTTGTTTGGCTACAGGTTTCGTCCACACCCACCTATCCCTACATAATTATAAATGAACGTGGTTTTCGCAGACCTTCAACAACTGGTTGGCGCGTTTAGTAGTTTGAAATTCTAAATACAAAAACAAAGGTCGATTTAAATGAGTTCATTAAAATGGTGACACCATTTGTTAACTGATTAGATTTGAGCCTCTGCTGTGTCTATTTTTCTGTTTAAGTAAGACCCCGTCATGACTACACGCTATTGTATGTGGACCGTATCCTGTATGCTTACACTTATACAATATGTTGATATGGGTTAGTATTTCTTTAAGGTTTATCTTTGCCTCGCTCATATATCAATGCATGACAGAAGGAAGCCCGTCCTAATTTGTGAAAATGGTTCGCTTTTTAAAGACAGCTTTGATGGGCACATTTACATTCCTGGATTTCATTTAGCTTTCTAAGTTTTACCACCTTTCCTTTGGATGTGTGCGGAGGGAGAGGGGGTGGGGGGGGGGGGGGGGGGTTGTGTACGGTGTTTAAAAATAAAACGTAATTTTTTCGTCTGTTTGGCAGGCCGTTTTTTTTTAAAAAGAATGTACTATAAATATACGGGACCAGGGAATGTGTTGTGAATACATGGGATTATGAATGTACTAGAAATACACGTGGTTATGGAATATACTGTAGAAATACTGGGCTAGGGAAAGTACTGTAAATACACGGATTAGGAAATGTACTAGAAAAAAACTGGTTTTGAAATAAGTTTTATCTGCATCCGATGTTACAACCCAAAGTAGACAATAAAATACAGCCATAGATTTACTTTACTGGCTGCTTTTAAAAATTACACGATCAATTATAATTATACTGTAAACAATGCAAATGTTTAATATAACATTAATTCAAATGGATGCGTTTTTTTAAAAAATTACCCATTCTGGAAAGTTGGGTTGATTGTAACTGATGGGATGAATGTGTAAAGTGTAGATGGTACACATATACTCTAGGGCTGATGGGTAGGGACACTGTAGGCTGAGGTTAGGGGTCATCCATTTATGACGTCCACAATTTTTTTATATTTTGGACCCCCCCCCCCCTACCTCCCAACAAAAATCCACTTTTTTTTTCCTTATACAAGTCCATAATTGTCCACAAAAGTCAGTTTTTTTTTCAAACCCCTCCCCCCCCCCAAGTGTGGACGTCATAAATGGATGACCCCTTACTAGCTGTATGTAGGGTCAGGTTTAGGGGGGTCCTAGAAGTTTCTCTAGTCAATACTTGACAGGTTACTTGTCCTGTGGGGTTACCCTAGTCAGAGATAGAACTTGTAGTGATGCATTGGTGGAGATTTTAAAGATGTAAAAATAGAATTAGCAAGTTATTTTTGTGTGAAGTGGCAGTTGTAGGTTTATTAAAGAAATGTGCTGTCGTTATGGGGCTGGGGAGGGTTGTTAATGGGATGAGGGTCTTTGTTTAGTGGTGGGGGTGTGTGCTTTGTGGGGTGGGTGTGTGTGTTTAGTGGGGCGGATGTGTGTTTAATGGGGTGGGGTGTGAGTTTAATGGGGTAAGGGGGGGGGGATGTTCATAAAAGTTTACAGTCATTGATGTGTGAATTTCTTTAGCTGTGTTCATGTTATCAATAATAGTTTTGGATCTAATACATAAAACTACATTTAGGACTGGATTGCATGTAAACTTAAGGGTTGTTTTGAATTTATATTTCATTTTTTATCAATTAGTAGCATTTATTAGTAGATCATTTGACTTTGTAGCTGGGGTAGCATCAACTGTTCCACCCCTAAACTAAACCTTACCGGCACCTTTATTGCTGCACTAGCTTAGATTTTAAAGAGAGAACACTTGAACCAACCCTTCCATTTTCTGTATGGATTTTTCACTAAGACACCGCCATTAATCTAAAAATACTTTATATCATGCTTGTATTTTAATGAACAAAAACAAAACATTTCTAAACATTCTAGCTATGCAGCTGAACAATTGCTTGTGAATGTTTATCCTGTAGAGCTAAAGAATTCTCTTCTTGTGTGCAGTTTGAAAACACCTGTCATACAAACTGTATAGCTGTTTGGTTTTTGTTTAAAGCTAGTTATTTAGACAAGTTATTTAAAACTAATCAATTTGAGGAATGAAGTTAATGACTACATGTAGTAGCTGTTTCTTGTCTTTTGTCAGGCAGATTTGCTCAAAAGTCAGGCTTTCTTGGAATTTTTTGGTTTGTTAAAATTCTCTTCTGGAATGACAAACATTTATAAAGCAATTAATTGATTTGATAAGGCTTGCATTTAGAAGACATTTTAAGTAACTTCTGTTTTTCAATTTTAAAAAACTTGAATCTCAAACATTAATGATGTGAAGAAGGGGTTAAATAAGGCTAGCATTTAGAAGACATTTTAAGAAACTCCTGTTTTTCAACTTTTAAACTGGAATCACAAAGATTAATGAAGTGGTTGAGTGGTTAGACAAGGCTAGCATTGAATGATCACCAGAGGTTGTGTGAATGAAGCTACACAATGGATGTCACCTCGTTTGTGCTGTATGCATTCTGTCCCTGTAGCAAGCATAAGAAAAAAGAGTATGAGTGCTCATCGCATACGGTAAGATCTCAAAATGATAACAAAAGCCTACCCAGCATAAGCTGTTGTTATGTTAAGTGTATTTGATACTCAAGTTTAACAAGCAGGCCTATATGAAAGCTGAACAACAGTAACCTTTTATTCTCCTAAAATCATAATAGCTGAGTTTTATAGATGCATATAATATTTCAAAACAAGCTTTAATGTTATGTAAACCTACAACTAAAATAAAAATAACATCTTTTACCATACAACATTTCTTAGTAATATTTTATTCAACGTTCATGTAATTGCTGTTCATTTTTAACATGATTTGTACATGCTGGTAAGTCAATAATTACCCATTACACTTAGCAACATTTGCAGAAAACAATTTTCCAATGTTTGTATAAAATTTTAAGAATGTTATGTTACATTGTAATCTGTTTTTGTAACATTAAGTCCAATTTACTCTGAAGGGGAAAAGTTAAGAAGGTAAGATTGTATAAAATATTCAATCATTTCTAATTTCCATTTCAGGTTTTTCTCATACATTACCTTTTTTTAAACAGGGAGTCTCAAATATTTCTTTTGGTTTAATTTCAGGACTCCACAGCAGGGGAAACCACTCCAACAGCCGAACAAGGGGTCATCACTCCTCAGGTGGCTGTCTTAACACAGAAGCAGCCACTAGACTCCACAAATGAGGAAGAAGAGCCAGCACAGGATATAGAGATGCCCCCTCCTATGGAGATCCAAGACCATTCATTCAAGCCAGAGAGCAAGGAGGTCTCCACAGATGATGTCACAGCTAAACTGGTAAGTAACATCTGTTTGTAGGTGCCGTTAGATGTCTCTCAGACACTCACTTTAGGTGATCTGATGTAAATATTATGCTAATCTTACATTGATTACAAGGCTTAAACTCATCATGTGTGCATGTAGCTGAAACCTTAGTCAGTATAAGATTAGAATAATGTTTACATCAGATGACTTTGAGTTTAAGCCTCTACTCACTTGTTTCCTTAAAATTTAGCCCTTGGTCTGTGAAGAATTGTAAACAGCTGGTATTTTATGAGACCAGAATGTGTAAAAAAAAAGTTGTAGGAAAACATAAAAATTAGATTAAAATGTAGTGTGAGGTGATGTTGAATTCAAATGGGAAAAACCAGTTGTAAAGTGACTTAAATAAATGTGCAGATTACACATAACTGCAGTATAATGCCTGTAATTAATGCTAATGTATATCAATATATAGTTGGCATGGTTTTATTAAACTGATTAAAGCAAATGTGGGCATGTGCACAGTCATGTGATTTATTACCAGAGGCGTAGCGACCGTTCCTGGCGCCCGGGGACAAACTTTCAATTTGGCGCTCCCCCCTCCCCCATATATTTTTTTATATTTATAATGCAAAACTGCAGCTAAAATGAGCTTTTAATTTTTTTTTCAAACCCATTTTGGCACCCCCTAGGGTCAGCACCCTGGGACATATATACCCCCACCCCCCCTCGCTATGCCTCTGCTTATTCCTTTAAGCTCAGCCACTGTGGGTATGTGCACAGTCATGTGACTTATTCTTTTAAGCTCAGCCACTGTGGGTATGTGCACAGTCATATGACTTATTCCTTTAAGCTCATCCACTGTGGATATGTACACAGTCATGTGACTTATTCCTTTAAACTCAGCCACTGTGGATATGTACACAGTCATGTGACTTATTCCTTTAAGCTCAGCCACTGTGGGTATGTACACAGTCATGTGACTTATTCCTTTAAACTCAGCTACTCTGGGCATGTACACAGTCATGTGACTTAGCCTTCAAACACAGCCTATATGGGTATATGTGCAAAAGTATGTGACTCATGTCTTTAATCTCCAGTAATACCCACACATTCTCATAATCTCCACTTGGCCATCTCTTGCATAAAAAATTTCAAAGGTAGATGTTTGGGATTTAAACTTGCACCTGACTCTTGACAGTACTTGGCTCGCATGTAGATTAAAGTTGGAAGAATCACAAACATTTTTCTAATAGACATTGACAAGTTTGACAGAACTTCATTATTTCTTGTTTTTTTAAAATACTCTTAACAATATTGCATACAAGAGTTTAAAGTGAATATCTTTTACAATATTTCATGCACGTTTATAGAAATTTTGCTTACAATATTGCTGCATACAAGAATTTTAAAGAAATTTCTCTGACAATAGTGCATAGCATAAGTTCTAAAGAAAATAACATTATAACAAATGAGAGAAATGGTGGTGGTGGTGTGAGGGTGGGGGTAGTTATTTTGAAAACCACGCTATCTCTTACAAATGGAAAGCAAGCCTTTCTTCTTTGTGTATCAGTATGGCACACAATCTTCTTACTGTCAGGTAGTATCCCTGGTGATAGCTTGAGTTAAGTGATGTTGACTTGTTCAAAGAAAGACAAGTAAAAAAACTCTTTTTAAACATGGCATTTCAATAATATTCCTTTTGAAAGGGATCATGTTTTTGTTAGTATTGTAGAGATATTGAGGCTGGTATTGCCTGCTTCTATGGCAGATCTTGACAATATAGAACACAATAATGGAGGTTAGGAGCTGTAAAACTAGGATCTGTTACAAGGAATTTCAGTTAGGAACTGTAGCGTGGTCGAGTCGGTAAAGCTCATGGTTGCTAAACAGAAAAGTCTCGAGTTCGAATCCTTGGGCGGATCAGACTTGACAGCCGGGGACAGCAACTCTTCTAGGAAAAACTTCAAAATCAAACAATTGCTGCCTTTTAGTTTGTTCTTGGTTGCACAAAAGGCTATGGAAGCAAATCCAAAATGAAATGCAGGCTGAAAATCGGAGTTAATGGCCTAAGCGACACCTTACCAGTTGACACATAATACTTAATCGTGTTGGAGGAAATCCCTTCCAACACTATAATTAAGACAGAAGAAGAAGAACAAGAAAGAAGAGCTTTAATAAGGAGCAAGATACTGTAACGTGGGGCGGAGTGGTTTAGCGGTAGAGAGCTGGACTGCTGACCCGTTAGTCTCGAGTTTGAATCCGGGTTCAAGTCAGTAGACCATCCCTGAGTCCACCCAACTCTGATGGGTACCTAACTTACGTTAGGGAAAGTAAAGGCGGCTGGGCATAGTGCTGACCACACTATCTCTTCATATGCCGAGGTCACAGAAACAAGTGAACTCTACTTCACTTGCCCCATAGACCGTCAGGTTTGAAAGGGAAACTTTACTTTTACTTTAAGATACTGTAACAGGATCTAGGAACTGTAATTAGGAAGTGTAACTGGGACAGTAACAGGGAACTAGGAATTTTAATAGGATCTAGGAACTGTAGCAGATAACTGGGAACTGTGACAGGGAACTAGTTGCAGTAACAGGGAACAAGGAACTGTAGCAGAGAATTTATGGATCAAATGAAAAATAGCATGTATCCAGTACTGTAAATGCTTTGGAATTAATAGTAACTATATTACTATTTACATCCATCTGTCTAAATGTAAAGCAATTGATTACTTTTCTTCTTTAAATGTCTAAGAAATTATTATTTACTGCATTTTTCAAATGTTAATACTAGTAATTCTGTTGTCTAGAAGGTAGGAAAATGTCATTCCCATTAATATTTATAGTTCTTTTTAAATATTAAACCAGTTAAGTTTTCATATTTAAGCTATAGGAAAATGTCTTTTAAACTAACATTTAAAAAAAAATCAAAATTCAGGGAATAAAGTTCATTATTTTTGTTTTACCTTAAATATTTCAGAGGTATTTCTTTAAAAAATTCAGCATATTTTCTTTCATAAATTATGATTCTACAAATATTTATTAAATGGGATTTGGTTTGAAATAAAGTGTTTTAAAAAGTTGTAGTTTTTCTCTGGAGAACTACCATTTCAATGTTGATGTGTTTATGCTAGTATTTCATAAATTTATTTATATTTTTGTTTTTAAATACTGATTTGGTTAATGTTGACTCTCAAAATACGAAAACAATTTTTACTTTACTTCAAACAGAAATTGTGTTTTTTTTTTTAACTTCATACTAAATTTTGACTTAACATACAAACAGGTTATAAAATCTCTCCTAACCTTTGACCTTTCCAGGCATCCCAGCTGTCACTGAAGCCACAGGGAGAGAACTCAGTGGCCACAGACCTAACCAGTCAGATAGAGAATATAAACAAGCATAGAATTGTAAGTCTTTCAATTATTCATGCATGCTCTTGCCATCAAGCTTCTGTTAGTGTCATGTGGAATGTTTAGTTTCAACAAGATATTCTGTTCACTTTTACTTGCTATGTGCAGTCAGTATAAAAGTTTTTTAGTTATATTTTTTAAATTGTGTAAAGCATAAGGGAAGGGACGGAGTGGTCTAGCGGTAGAGAGCTGGACTGCTAACCCGTTAGTCTCGAGTTCAAATCCGGGTTCAAGTCAGTAGACCGTCCCTGAGTCCACCCAACTCTGATGGGTACCTAATTTATGTTAGGGAAAGTAAAGGCGGCTGGGCATAGTGCTGACCACACTATCTCTTCATATGCCTAGGTCACAGAAACAAGTGAACTCTACTTCACTTGCCCCATAGACCGTCAGGTTTGAAAGGAAAACTTTACTTACTTTACTATAATTATTTGGTTTAAAATTGAAAATATAAATAGCGTTTAAAAATGTATGTTACCTTTTTCATGACATAAGTTACCATTTTTTTTTACATTCTAAATAAAATGGCCAACTTCCTTCTAACTGCTCTGGGTTTATGCGATGTGACTATCTAGCAATTTTTTTAGTGTTCATTGATGTGGCCATCTTCTTTTGTTAGTTCACGTCAAGCCATTTTTAGCAGTAGATGACTTTCAGTTGTCCATTTATTGTCCATTCAGTTTCTGGCCATTCATGAGAGGGGTTAAATTTTTTACCTAACTTCTAGTTGGTCTTGGTTATAGTGTTTGTTAAAGTTTGGCTCACAACTTAAATGACTTATGTGTACATTGGAGACTTTGTTTAGTTTTTGTTGTCTCACAGCTTATCTGCTCATACATACATTGATTATTGAATACAGTTTTAAAAAAGATGAAGTTGTGTTACCTGTGTATGTCTTAAAATGCTGCCAAGCATAAGCAACAAAATCCTGATGCTGGAATTTAGTTTGGAGAGTGGGGGTGGGGATGGGGTATTGAATAAATATGAGTTAATATTTGGGTCAATTAACTACCTGAATGAGTTTGTGTTAAGCATGGTTGCTCAGTGAAAGTAATGGGGCGGTTGGAAAAAAAATGTTTTAATGGAACAAGATCAGCTAAAGATGATTTTTATCATGCATGTCTGACATAACTGGTAATCACAAAACAAGAAACAATTTTTTTTTTCTCTGCGTGTTATTTCAGATTTTTCTTGTTGTTTCTGTTAACATTTCCTGCCAAGTGTTTGATGTTAACTTGAGGCTTTTTACTCTCAGCTTCCACAAGCCAAAAAAATCTGGCTAATTTATGTACTTAAGGTTTAGTGATTAGTCATACTCCTATTCTCATGCCTGCCTGTTTCTTTAATTCCACCAATAACAATACCCGCCCTAAGGGTATCCTGTACCTGAGCCTTGCCCTAATTCTTATCCTAAATCAATACCTTAATATACAAGTATCATTAATGTTAAAGACTATTAAAGTAATAAATGAGAACTGCTAATGAATAATTAATTTATGCACCACAATCAGCATACAATGCCACAAATTTTTCTCTATTACAACTGAACTTGATCATTCTATTGTATTCAATCTACATGTAAAGCAGGGTTGCAGCAATAAACTTGTTATTTTCAATACAAATGTACAACAACATGGCAGCTATATCATTCATTGCTACATTCAATACAATTCTATAACCACTAACAGCAAGCTCAGTGAAATGCCAAAGTGTACCCTGTATTCATTAGCAAGCTAGTTGGACAAAAGAAAGAAAATACACAACAGGTTCAGTCTTAGTTCAGTTTGTATTTTGTACATGTCAGCATTTACCTGTGTTATTCTCACCCAGAATGAAATTATCGAGAACCTTATGATGTAGCTGTGACCACACCCTCTAGCTAAAAATAGATGAATTCTATAGGTGTCTTAAGTGCTTTTCTTATGCACATTTCTTCTTAAAATAATAGTGAGATTATTATGTACTTTTAGAAAACATTGGCGAACAACAATATAGCTTGTTCTTTTTATGGGTGGATAGTGTGTCAGACTACCAACCCTGTGAAAACTGCACTCTGTTCTAGTCTATAGAGTAAAGTAAGTTTAGACCCAGTAAGAATATCTTGTTGAAGGTATATCACCTGAAAGCCACAAATAGATTTGAGAGTGGGTATCAACAGGGCACATTGTGGTGACGTCAAGTGTTTAACAATGATAATAAAAATTCCACTTGTTCAAGGTTGAGAGTTTTATGATCAAACCTATATCAAGATGTACGCTAAATATAGAACATTATCTGAGAAAAACAGGTTGTTTGTTTTATAGTTCTGTTTTCTTTAATTCTTTACTAAAATACAATTAATCTTCCTTGTGGTTGGTTTTGTTGTGAATTAAAATTATTCATTAATTAAATGTTTTTAAAACATATTTTTCTATCCAGAATTTTGATCAGTTTCTAAACTGTAGGGACAACAGTCTATTATAGTTTGTTGTTTCAATCAGGTATTTTAAAAGAAACTATTATTACCTGTTTAGGTGTTAGTCGTACATGAGATACACAGTTGTGATAAAGTTACCTTGGTGTTAAAAGCTTCAGGACAAAGTGCTTAGGTAGTGCTAGAGTTTACAAACACTTCCTCTGATAATGCTAGAGTTTACCAACAGATCCAGCGCCGTGAGCTCTTTACCCCAGATTTTAAACTGTCAGTTTGTTTGTTTTAGCACTCAGGCAACCCCATGTACTTGTTTAGATTTATACTGTATCTTATCTACATAAAATACTGTTTTTATCAAATAGAGCCACGTATAAGCTCTACACTGCTTCCAAAAAAATCTCTGATGAAAATGTAAAAATAGATTGAAATAGAAATGTGGCATTCCACATGGCTGGCACCTGGTCCAGGTGATTGTTTCTCAGGAGGTAAAAACACAGACAACCCATGCTGGGTGTGTCCTGCATACTGCACAGATTTAAAAAAAATAATAATAGTTAAATGGAATTTTTTTTTCTTCTTCTGGTTTCTGCCTCTGCTGCTGTACATTTAAACGATAATATTTTCAATGCAAAAATAGAGAAAAGTGGGAGAGGTAGTAAACCTGTAGTTGTTTTTAATAAAAGGGATGAATGCTTTGTTCAACCGTGTACTTTGTTTATAATTGCCAGAGTTCAAGGCATGTATGCCTGTAGAAAAACATTTAAAATTTTCATTAACTAAATAGATTTAGGATTTTGTAAATCATAAACATACTTTTTCCTTAAAATAAATAATTACATGTCTTGTAAGGTTATGTGATTAAATTACATAAAGTTGTGAAAAGTTGTAATTTGTAAAGCAATTATTTTAGAAAAAATTTGATGAATCTTTATACAATTTAATAAGCAAAAAAAAAAAAAGAAAAATCTTACTTTATTATTGAAACAGGAGCTATGTGAGCTATTGGATTTTAGGTTTTTGAAAGAGTCGATGTATCTATCTAATTAATGTAAAGCATACTAATCAATTCATTAGCCAAATATATTTTGTACTTAATTTTATAAGTAATAAGAACATAAGTTGAATCTCCTGAATCAAGTTAAAGTTTAATAGCTAAGTAAACCCAGTAGCATGATGTACAAATACAACACAAAGGTTTTTTTCTTCTTTTTAGTAATTAGAAAGACTGGATGAAATTTACAATAAAAAAAGTGAAAATTAAAAAAAAAAAACATTCACTGAACTTAATTTAACATATAACTTTTGTTGTTGTTGCAGGAGCCTACAGCTGAAGGTGCCAGTGGAAACTCTTCAAAATCAGACCTGAACCCCAGCCCATCAGGCACACAGGCAGAGCTAAGTCTAGCTGACGCCACCTTAAACCCTACAGATAGCAGGGAAGAAGAAGAGGATGATAAAGTTGATGAAGGGAGAGACTTTGAGGCTGAAAAAGCCAAGTTCCTCAAGAAAAGACAGTATGTTAGATTTTATTTCTGTGTGAGATTTTTATCTATGCTGCACAATGCAGCAACAAGTTGGTAAACAAAGTAAAGTGCTGGTTTAGTTCTGACAGTACCAGCAGAGCCATATGTCAAGTCTGTGATAAGACAGATACTGACAGTACCTGCCAAATACTGGGACCCTTAACTTTTTTTTTTCAAGCTATTGAGACTGTGGTCCCACAGCAGCTTTACGACGTCTGACTTCAATTAAATAAGTTTTACAATGTGTGGCCTTGTGACGAGGACAGTTTTATAACATTTCAACTTTATAGCAGTGAATTAGATATCTATATATATTTTTTAGTGCTGTAATAAAATATCAGCTCATTTGTGGTCTGGCATTCCCTTCTTGCATTGATTTAGAAATTTTTTTTTTTTTAAAATGTCTTATTTCTTTGAAGATGTTATCTTTTTTCATATTAAAAAAAAAAAGAAGATTAATAATCATATTTTAGAAAATAATTAAAAATGGTATTACTGATATCAATCAATTATATTTTTAAGATTAATAATTATTTTTTTTTTTAAACTTTAGATTTGTTGTGCAAGAGCTTTACGACACAGAAAAAGACTATGTGAAAGATTTAGCAACTATAGTTGATGTAAGTCCAAACTTAAGCCCAAATTTAATCATTCTGATTTTTAAAATAAAGAACAAAATAGTTTTTATTTTTATTTTAAGAATATTATTTTCTAGTAGCATGGTTTATGTTGTATTTTTTAAATGAAAATAAGAATTTGATCACACCATTTAAAATCCAATAGCATCCAATCAAAATCACCTTCTTAAAATTATACTTACACTGGTGTTCGTACAAAGCTGGACATCCACATAAAATATTTAAAACAAATGAGCTTTGACCTTCTAGACTAAAAATAGCCGTCTGTTTAAGTTCTCTAACATCAAAATTTTATAGCTGGTAAAATGAGTTAATTAACTTTGCATAAATTATGATAATTTCTGTTGTACCATGGTTTAGGGTTACATGGCATACATGAGGGATAACCCACTGCCTGATGAGATGGAGGGCAAAGATAAAATTGTTTTTGGCAACATTCACCAAATTTATGATTGGCACAATGAGTAAGTTTTATCATTAAAGTTGGTTTTGTCAACATTCACCAAATTTATTATTAGCACAAAGAGTTTCACCAATAAACTAAAATTGTTTTTGGCAACATTCACCAAATTTATGATTGGCACAATGAGTAAGTTTTATCATTAAAGTTGGTTTTGTCAACATTCACCAAATTTATTATTAGCACAAAGAGTTTCACCAATAAACTAAAATTGTTTTTGGCAACATTCACCAAATTTATGATTGGCACAATGAGTAAGTTTTATCATTAAAGTTGGTTTTGTCAACATTCACCAAATTTATGATTGGCACAATACATACGTTTTACCACTAAAATTGTTTTTGTCAACATTCACCAAATTTATGATTAGCACAATACATAAGTTTTACCACTAAAATTGATTTGGCTACATTCACCAAATTTATAATTGGTATGATGATTAATTACCAATTCTTGCTATGTTTATTACCTTTAAACCTTGAATTTAATGTAACTTTTTGTTTTTTTCTACAGGACTATGCTTTCTGAGTTAGAATCATGTTTGACCAACCCAAACAAAGTTGCATCTATATTTATTCGTTATGTAAGTTCCTCTTTTATTTTTTTTATAGGCCTTAAACAGTCTCTCATTAAACTAACATGAGTGTAAGATTTACAAAATGATAATCAAAATGATAAATTTGGCTACAGCAGTTTATGAAGGCTTGAGTATTATAAAATTTATCTTTTGAAATATAGTGAATAGGTTAAGAAAATTTGGGCTTCCTTACCTCCCTACACTTGTGTCAAAATTTTCTGTTTTTGTTTAGGTGTGCGGTTACATCTTGGATTATCTCAAATTCTAGATCTATATAGACATATATAAAACCATTAGCAGCTACACACTCAGATAGTTTACTGTTGTTTTTGTTACTTGGTGGAAATAAATGTAATGAATATAAGTGGATAACATTTTTTACTTAAATATTATTTATTTTTTCAGGAAAGAAGGTTATACATGTATGTAAAATATTGTGAGAACAAACCCAAGTCAGAATATGTTGTATCTGAGTATCTAGACACATATTTTGAGGTGAGTTAACACTCTGTATCTGTGTCTACTCTCTGTGCTAAATGTTTACCTCAGTAAATCTCTGTATTATTATACTTTGACTTACTTGACTTAGTCCTCTTTGCTCCTTATGGAGCATAGGGCCTCCACCATTTCCTTCCATTTCTTCCTTTCCTCGGCTATTAATTTTGACATCTCCCAAGACATCCCTATTGGCTGCAGTTCTTCAAGAAGACTCCGCCTCCAGGTCTGTCTTGGGCGCCCTCTCTTCCGCTTTCCCTGGGGGTTCCACTCAAGCGCTTGGCGTGTAACATTTGTATTATTATAGGCTGTCATGTATTGCTACCTTTTATGTTTAATGCGCAACAATTATATTTAACTGAAACATGTCTAAGTAAAACAAAATAGGCATATATTGAAATAAGTTCAAAGCATTTTGGCTATTATTTACAGAACAATTTAATGTTCAAAGTTTGTATGACTTGACGAGTTTTCCTCACCTGCTATAAGATACATTTAAATTATTGAGGATGAGGAAATGGTTTAACTTTTATCTGACCATTTAACCATTTGCACTTTCAGGAAGTTCGGCAAAAACTAGGTCACCGCCTCATGCTTCCAGACTTGTTAATTAAACCTGTTCAAAGAATCATGCGCTACCAACTTTTGCTCAAAGTGAGTGTCTTACTACTTTTTAAATTACTGTTACTGCATTATATCAACGTCCATAACTTGTTTGTCCAGGCAATCTTGACTAAGATGAATATATCTAAGCTAACTTTTAGGGGGTTAATGTAATTACATAGTGTGTTTTTTTTTTAAGTTTATTTTGGTTTTTGTTTGAAAACGCGAATAAAAGAATGAGACATGTAGTTTGTGCCAGCTTGTATCCGTCAGAAGGTGTTGATGTTAAAATTTGATTGGTACCTGGCTAATGTCTCTGATTCATGCAGCTGAAAAACATCTAGCAGTGGGAAATAAGGTGTTTGGGCGAAACTTAGAAACAATTCTAGTTCTTTGTCGTAAATTTAATTAAATTAATAATTATTCTAGATGAAACGTTTAACATTAATATTTCCTTGACTAGTTTTATTTTTGTTGTTTTAATATTTTTTTTTATTCAAGTCATAAAAAAGATTTAAAAAGTTGTTTTGATTTAAAAAGTTGTTACTGTTGTAGATTTTAATGTTTCGAACGCTCTTTGCAGGACATCCTAAAATACACAGAGAAAGCTGGAGAGGACCCATCAGAATTAAAGAAAGCTCTGCGTGTCATGTGTATAGTCCCTAAGGCTGCCAATGACATGATGCAAGTTGGGAGGCTGCAGGGATTTGATGTAGGATATTTTTTTTTAATTCACAGCTAAAGTAACCATGAAATTAAGTTAAACTATGGTTTATAGGGTGATGGCTTGGCCGAGCCGTAGAGCGCTTGACTGTTAACCCGTAAGTCTTGAGTTCAAATCTGGTTTGAAGTCAGTAGACTCAGCTCTGATAGGTACCTAATTCACGATAATATTAAAGGCGGCTGGGCATAGTGCTGACCACACTATCCCTTCATATGCCAAGTACATATGCTCTGTACACCAAAAATAAACTTGTATAAATGACACCACACATTTTAATATATACTTAGCCACACAATTATTGTGTTGACCAGAAATAATCTGGAATAAATGACACTACCCATCCCAGTATATTTAGCCACACAATTGTGTAGCATCGCTCTCTATTTCTTATCATTTGTTTATCCTTTCTAGGGTATCATTACTGCTCAAGGCAAGTTGCTACTGCAGGTATGTTAGTTCATATTTTTGCCAGCCTTTCTATATCCAACATAATATGTCTTTAACAGTACATTTTTATTCAGTTTCCTATCTAGTAAGGTAACAAAAAAAGTAAGTTTACTGGTCTATTTAGGAAACACCCCAATATTAAAATAATAGTGCTGATATTGATACTGAAATCCTAACCATTATCTGTGGTTGATTATAATTACAATTGGGCCTTAAGGGAAATTTTTTGTTTGTTGTTTAAGACAATGAAACATGATTTGATTGTAAATAAATACTATAAAATGGGAAGAATGCTAAAAAATTTAATGCTACTACATCCATCTTCATACTACTTAATTATGCGTCTATATATTAAATAACACAAGTAAGACATACTTACAGTACTACACTTACTTTTACCCTATATAATGTGATATAACAGTTGATGTATTTACACACTGCTTCCCTTTGTGTTATGAAATAGGTGCATGATCCCTTATGCTAACATCACAATTTATATGTTATATCTTACATTTAAAGTTAACTTAACGATGGAACATATCCACACGTATCTAGCCTGTTGTATTACACTTTTGCAGGATACCCTTTCCGTGTCAGAAGCCTCATCCGGAGGCCAACAGAAATTTAAAGAGAGAAGAGTTTTCCTGTTTGAGCAGATCATCATCTTCAGTGAGATGATTGAAAGAAAGAAAGGAAATTTCTCTAATGCAACTTATATTTTCAAAAATAGCTTAAAGGTAATCCATTTTCACAAAACTTTTTTTTTATTTTTTTTAATTAAATTTTAGTATTCAAATTTGTAACTATTTCATAGTAAAAAAATCTGTTTAATTTTTGGAAAACAAAGTTAATAAATTAATTGTTTTTTTCTTTAATTAATAAGGAATCTGAAGTTTATTATGATGGTAGCAAAATATTGCTCAATATTTTATTTGCTGATGTTTAAAAAAATCAAATTTTCAGGTGAATAAAATGTCATTGAATGACAAAGTTGAAGGTGAACCTTTGCGCTTTCAACTAACTGACCGCACTCCAGGGTCAGATGTTCGGATGATAGTCCAAGCCAATTCTGAAGAGAATAAAGAGACATGGATTAAACAAATCAGATCTATTTTGGATATGCAAGGGGACTTTTTGCGAGGTACTTCAAGCTGAATACCAATTTTATCAGCTAAGTTCAATATATATTGACTTTTACAAAATGAGTCATCTTGAAAAACATTTATTTTAAAATTATTCAGCTACAATTTTGAATTTATAATATTAATTTAAATTATGTATATTAAAATATTTTATGTTAATTTATAGAAAAATCTATCACTAAACTACTTTTATATATTAGTCATAGAGGGTATAAATAAATGTATTTTTTTGTGTGTTTCAGCTCTCCAATCACCCATAGACTACCAGAGAAACCAGATGAACCTTACTAAAGATTTGTAAGTGATTACCTTTATTATCTTATCACATTTTATTGTTTAAAATCAATACTGTTTTTTTTAAACATATTTTGTTTATAATTTTAAGTGTTTTTTTTTTAAATTAATTTTTTATAGTATCACATTTTAAATGTTTTAATTTTGCTTTTTTTTTAATATTAAAAAATGACATAAAAATAAGTACACAACATAAACAATAAGGCCTTAAAGTCCATTCTCAAAACAGTTGCGTCAATTGTTAGTTAATAGAGTTTATAGTGCAATTAACTTTCTAGGAAGTTTCAATAATCAAAATTTTTCATGACTTTATTCAATTAAGTGACATAAATAATAAAACAAACTGTAATTTAAACACTGTTTAAGTGTATCAATCTACCTACATTTCTATTAAATTAGCTTTTAAATGTATAGAGACATATTGTAAAATGCATGATAAGCTGAAATAGCCTTTATTAAAAAGATGAAAAGATGATGAGCAATTAATTATTAACACCACTCATCATCCTGTCAACGAGTCAACAGATTAATAGTTTGAATATATTTTTTGATATATGCTCTTTAAATAGTTTCACCAATATAAAAGATTTACTAGGTGTACTTCTTCAAATGACTGGTGTGTTAAAATCAATTTTTAATTTAAACATTTCCCAAGGAAGTTTCTTAGTGTACATTTCTTTAAAATGTGTATTATCCTAGACTCAATTTAATCAGATAGGATATCTCATCTGTCTCTGTAACCCAACTCTACCTGTTTTGGTTTCAGTTTCATGATTGCGGTCTCTACATTAAAGTAATATCCTATCGCAACCTTTCAAAAATCTGTTTTATACTTATCTGCACTGTCGCGTCATTAGACCACACTGCACTTGTGTCAAAGGTTATAATGTTGAGCCATCTCCACTAAAGCCTTAACTAGATGAAGACAGCTATATAGTTGTTGAAGAGCAATCTATAGAGTCCCAGGGGTTCATGTTTAGCACTTTATGTGTTGTGAGACAAGCATTTGTGATTTGGAATAGAAAACTGCTTTGTTGTGGAGTAGTGGGTATTGTTCTAGTTATTAAATTGGTTAGTTTTGAGTATTGTAATTGTTGATAAGGCAGTATAGATGAAGTTGAGTTATTACTATTGACTTGATTCAAATAATTAACAAAGAAAAAGATATTTTGTAATGAAATTAAAAAAAAATAAAAAAAAAATATAAAAAGGCATAGCAATATAAATTTTATTATTATTTTGCAATGAATAGATTTATAAATTACCCAAAAAATAGTTAAAATTGATTTTAGATTTTCATCCTATAAAGAGAAAATTATAGTTGATAATGAGATGTTTTGAGAATGGCAAGTCATCATTAGCTGATAAATATTACATTTACCACTTCTAAATATCCTACTTACTAGTGAGCTCAAAGTCATATTGACTAATGGTTTCCCTCTAATTAACAAAACGGATCATGTTAATGCCTAGTCCTAGCGGCTGCCTAACCATTACATTATTTTTTCAGTTGATGTTGCCTTCAACCACCCATTTCACTGCCATGCTTCCATAACTAAAAACAAAATAATGACCTAAGTCGCCAGCAACCTAACCTCACCATAGCCATGCTTACAAATTTCTCATGGGCCAGTTTTTCTTGTGCAAAAACCTGGCGCCCTAAACCTATGCAACCAGCTGTCTTCACCAGCAGCCTACAAAATGCACTTCAGTTCAGCATAAATTACAAAACCAACCAACCCAACCGTTACCACAGTCGAGCGCTTTAAATATTTCGTAGCACCGTGTCTCTGCAATAGAGGTTAAAAAAAAATTTCTGTTGTACGTGTTAGATATTACTAAGGAGCACCATAATTCTCAAGATATTGTTGGTCGTAACAGAATGGAAATAGTCACTGAATGCTTGCACCTGTAAATGATAGACTTAGCAAACTTTGGAGCTAACTAGATGTGGTGTAGTAACTGATAGATGTTCAAAAGAATTCCTTAAAAAGTTGGAAATTCGGAACTTACCAAGCACTAATTTGTTTGATAAAAAAAAATATTGTTTCTGTTTTGTATAATACAAATTTAAACAGCATTATCCTTAATTTTACTTTCTTTGTTGCGGATTTAAATTTGGATCCACTTTGTTATAAGTTTATTTATACTTTAAAACATTTTTTTCCCAATTTTGTACTGCTTTGACTATAGTATAATTTGTTGTTTTAGGTTGATTGAATCTATGTACTGGTCTTAATTTTTTTAATTTACAATTTATAGTTGAGTGTTGTAAATATTTTATTTTGATGTATTACTATCTTGGTTAATCATTCACTCATTTTAATGTACTTACATTCCTTTTTCTTTATTAAGCAGCAGAGATTGAATGTCAGCTTAAGGGCTAAATTAAATTTAAAAAAAAAACATCTAATAAGAAATAATATCCATTTTTAATTAGCTAATTGAGAATTTGGGGGGGGGGGGGGAAAGTCAGAGAAAATAGGCATTTTAGAAATTAAATTTCTGTTAAACATAGTCTGAATTTTTTTAAAAGTCTAAAACTTTTAGAATTATGTATAATTTCAGTATTTATATAACAAAGCTATTTGTATCATTATAGAATTCTAAAATTCACCTAGCTGTTTATTTTATACTTTTTTAAAGTTTATTTTTTTTGTAATGTAAAAGCTAGTTTCAGAGTAGTTTTATAAAATAATTTTCAATATATGTTCATCTCTTTTTTGAGGTTTTTGTTAGATTTATTGTCTTTAATGTTAAATTATTTTGTTTATCCTTGTTACCCAAATTTGTGCATTTTTTTTTAGTTTAATTCACAATAAAGAGAAAGTTGTAAAATAAATTACATTTTTTAAGTATTGAATTAGTGGACTTAGTAAACGAAACAAACATCAAGAAAATAATTAAGTCTGGTGCTTACACAGCAGTTCTGAATTTCTTCTAGGATTCTGGATTCATTAACAATGAAAAAATCAAGTACCAAGCTCAGCAGACAGAGACACATTTATTAAAACATGTTAACATTGTTTTTGTTGATCTATGAACCTTACCATGTAGTTTTTATTTTCAAGTGTCTTTAACTTGTCTAACAGATCGGCTCCTGATTTCAACACCAGCTTTGGAGACTCAGCCCTACGAAAAACACAATCCCACCCACTTAACAGGTTACACAACCTGAGCCCATCAAAGTCTCCAGCCACAAAATCTCGCTCGGACATTTCAGTGGCTGGACCCAAATCAAAAACAGATCGATGTAAATCTATACCCGGGCAGTTTCCACAATGTCTGGTAGAAGATAGTGGAGATAGTGCTCAAGACAAAGCTTCTTGCCCTAATTCACCCATGGATGTTAGCAAAGATCTCTTGCGCAACAATAGTAGTGACAGCAGTTTAAGGAAGTTTTCTTCATCGGGTGCCGATGCTACGGCTGGCTCCAGCTCCCCCAAGCCAAAAAAGACAATATTTGACGGCTTTCGAAACACACTGGGCCGCAAATCTAAATCCAGCGACAATAGCAAGTTGTTATCCGACGCGACAAACATTTCATCCCCCCAGTCACCCACATGCGCAGGTTTAGGACTGGAAGCTTCTAATTCGTTTACAATGGAGGTCGGGAACTCCGAGGCTAGTACGGCCATGTCTGAGGCGTACGATGACGCAACATCTGCAGCAGCGGCGGCGGCTTCATCGTCTGCGGCGACGGCGGCGGCAACTTCACTCAGCCCCTCGACACCTTCGAGTCGGGTAAGTGGACGCAATGTCAGCTCGTGATGGAAAGGGGAGGTAACTGTTTGGTCATCAAAAAGTTGCCGCCCTCTCGCCTCACTTGAGTTCCTCGCTCGTTCGTTGGTTGGTTGGTTGATTCGTTCCTTAGTTTTGCTGCATTCACTCGTGCATCATCCTCTGATCGGTTCACCTGATTGGTTGGTTTTTTTGCTCGCTCGACTGCTTGTTTATCCGTTCATTATTTTATTCGTTCATTTATCTCTCTCTTCAACTGCAACCATTTGTTTAATCCAAGCCAACTGTAAACTCTATAGACATCAATGGTTAAATGACTTATTTAAATACAATTCAATCAATGACTTGTTACCACTAAATGACACTATGAATTCTATAGCTAGATTAAAGGATTTATATAAATTTCATCAGGAATAATCTTGTGTGTTAAACGTTTACCACTTAAACAATTGCAACCTTGGAGTGTGCTGCAGGTTTTAATGGAGCAAAGTCCACTTTTAAAGAACTGCTATGTTATGTATATAATCAATTATATATTTCTCTGTGTGCACCTTATTTGTTCATATTTGTATGTAAAGCTTTTTTATGATTTAAAGAAAAAAAAAAATTGAGAACAGGTTGGCTAAGAATTTCAGCCCAAACAACTTTTGAACTAAGTGTTTCTGGTTGTCATTGTTTACCTACTTGTTGATGAACTTACCGGACCTTCTTATTTATTGCCTGTTATATGAGTATAACTAGTTTATCTCGCATGCTGTTTGACATAGGTGTGCATTTTGCTAAATTATAAATTGTTAAAATTAATATTTTTGTCATTTTGTTATTTATTCAATTGCCGCATCTTTTTAAAAAAAAATCTTCACACACAAAAATCATAACGAATTCCATTATTTGTTTCATTACATAAATTGATAAACTATTTTTTTCTACATGTATAATAAAAATAGAAATCTTCATATGCATATATTTCTCAGCCGCATACATTTATATTGTTGCATATTAAAATCATGTTAGTAATTTTACATGTGGCTGTATAAATAAGATCATTTTTTTTTTGCATGCACTCAATGAATTTTTATTGGAACTGAATTCTTGATTCCTTAAATTGTACACTACTCACAATTTAAGAATACCTTTTTTTTTTAAACAGGAAAATTGAACAAATATCAGACTGTTAGTTGTACTGGCTTCTCTATGCTCAAATGTTTGACTTTGTCCCTCCCACTTTTTACTGATAGCACTTGTCCTTATGTTGATTCAATACTCATTAGGCATTATGTCCTTATCTGGTGCTCTCTTCATTAACACAACACTACACATCTCACTATTAGCGCAAGTCAGAGGACTATCCTTAGTTATTGGAAAAACTATCACACCGATAAATAATCTTGTTTAGAAAATATTGTTTATTAATATAGGATCAAACTTAATCATCAAGAGTGAACTTACAAGTCATTGGAAATTCATTTATATTGTACCTCTGATCCATGTTTTTATAAACCTAATCCCTAGGACCAAGTTTTAGAGATCGTAAAAAAATTCTTGTGGTTTTCATACAGGTTTTTCTATTAGATTTTCTACATAACAATTTAATTAAGTGCCATAAATGACTACAATTTTTTTTAAGCTTTTTATAGTGGGTGTTATACATCTCACTTTATTTTTTATGAGAAGATCGTCACCATTTCCTAATTTTCTATTTTAAAAATTTTGACAGTAAAATGTCTTTAAAGTAAAAATTATAACATTAAGTCAGAAAAATTATGTTTAAAAAAATGTGATTATTGAACTTTAAAATAAATGACAAGAAAAAAATAATACAAATTAATTGTTATAGAATTATGATAAAAACACGAAAACTTTTGCTCAGTAGTGTAGTTGTTTATTATGCAAAATCCTTGATCCAACAAAAATGAATTATCTCAGTTCTTTCTAGACCTATTTGATCATTGCTACATGGACTGACATTGACACTTACAATGTTGACTTTATATACAGAAGTTGTAGTGTGAAGCTTACTTCCCCTGTGCTGTTGTTAAACCCTGTCTTCTATCTACACTATGTCTCAGAAAGTATTTCTGGGCCTAGACTTGCTTCCCTATCAAGATTGATCTCAGCTTCTGCCTTGGACAAAGAGATACATTAAAAAAAAATTCTTATCTAAGTTTCATATTCAAGTTCTATAACCCAAGATACACACATTATCTCCCTTTGAAACCACACATTTTTTTTTATTCAACTGATTTAAATTGTGGTTGATTTAAAGATCTGAAGAATAGTTTTTCAAGTTTTCATAAATATTAAACAATGTTTAATTGTTCTTTCAATGTCAGATTATTTAGATGTTAACTCAATGTTTGCAAGTGATATGCAAGATAAGGGTTTTCTCCCCTTGATTCCTTCAGGGGTTATTATATGTAAATACATAGATTAATATTGAATGCATATCAGAATATGGCTATGTTCAAATGTGATTTGCATTTTTTTTTCAACTAACTATTGATTAGTAACTCATCATTTTTTTAGTTTAATTTGTTAATTATGTAAATTGATCGCATTGGTAGGCAGTATATTTTAAGTCTGTGTGTGTTTACAGCTTTTTTTTTAAAAGATGAGAGAAATATCTCTTTGTATAATTTGACTATATGGGAAGTTGTAAAATTTAAAAAAAAATCTGGCTTATATATTACAAGTTTAAATTTCTTTTTTTCCCAAAAAATTGTCTGATACTAATATTTGCATACACTAGCTTTGATAACTAGTCAGTTCATTGCTCTCATTGTAATTTATTCCTGGTCCTTAGGATTATTTTTTACTTGTTCCCTTGTAACACCCAAAAGTTTGAGGAGTCAGTCAGAAGATATGTAGTTTAACATGACACATACACATACAACCGTCCTACATGACACGTAGACACATACAACCATCGCATGACACATAGACAATAGCTTCTCTTTTATAAACTAAGTTTTCACCAGCTAAGTCTTAAGATCAAAACTTAACACAACATGGGTTAGGTTGTGTTACGTACAAGGCAGAGAGATGGTAGTTTTTGTTTTGTTTTTATGAAATCTTCACATGCAGAATATGGAGGGCTTATTATTTCTTGCATAGTCTTTGTATAGCTTTTATCTAAGGACAAGAACATTAGAACTTCAGTAGTTTTTATAGCTTTTATCTAATCACAAGAACACTAGAACTTGAGTAGTCTTTGTATAGCTTTCATCTAATCACAAGAACACTCACTAGAACTTGAGTAGTCTTTGTATAGCTTTCATCTAATCACAAGAACACTAGATCTAGAATTTGAGTAGTCTTTGTATAGCTTTCATCTAATCACAAGAACACTAGATCTAGAATTTGAGTAGTCTTTGTATAGCTTTCATCTAATCACAAGAACACTAGATCTAGAACTTAAGTAGTCTTTGTATAGCTTTCATCTAATCACAAGAACACTAGATCTAGAATTTGAGTAGTCTTTGTATAGCTTTCATCTAATCACAAGAACACTAGATCTAGAACTTAAGTAGTCTTTGTATAGCTTTCATCTAATCACAAGAACACTCACTAGAACTTGAGTAGTCTTTGTATAGCTTTCATCTAATCACAAGAACACTAGAACTTGAGTAGTCTTTGTATAGCTTTCATCTAATCACAAGAACACTAGAACTTGAGTAATCTGTATAGCTTTCATCTAATCACAAGAACACTAGAACTTAAGTAATCTGTATAGCTTTCATCTAATCACAAGAACACTAGAACTTAAGTAATCTGTATAGCTTTCATCTAATCACAAGAACACTAGAACTTGAGTAGTTTTTGCATAGCTTTCATCTAATCACAAGAACACTAGAACTTGAGTAGTTTTTGTATAGCTTTTATCTAAGGACAAGAACACTAGAACTTAAGTAGTTTTTGTATAGCTTTTATCTAAGGACAAGAACACTAGAACTTAAGTAGTTTTTGTATAGCTTTCATCTAATCACAACAAAACTCACTAGAACTTAGGTAGTCTTATAGCTTTTATCTAATCACAAGAACACTAGAACAAAACCTCACAAAACCCTCACCGCAAGGGATTTTTCCATCTTGGTTTTTAAACTAATACTCTTGTAAACAAAATCAGTTTTTCTCAAGTGGAACATATTCCCCAAACTTTTGGGTGGCAACTTGTATGTTAAAAGATCAATGGCACTCACAGTTATAAACTTCATATGCACACGTTATAACTACTCACCTAATAAGTTACTTTAAAGCTTTTAGATCACTTTAATTAATTCGTATATATTAAAATTAAATTTTGTTTTGTACATTTTTTTCCCCTTACATTGTACAGATCTGTTTAAAATGTTTTCAGTGAGCTTGTTTGAACAAAATCCTAAAGCCTTCAGAGTAAAAAATTAAATTATTCTGCTCTAATTGTTTTTAGTATGTTAAATTAAGAAAGTGTAAAAAGTTACTTGGATAGAAATAAAAAAGAAATAATAGGATAAATAGAAGCGGCTCTTTTGATATCAAGATGCGGCTCTCCAGCTCCTTGAACAAATACTAATAATCTCAATAAAAAAATAAAATATTTGAAATAAAAAAATGTTAGTGGCTCTTTAAAATCAGGGAAATTTTGAAAATTGTAACTTTTGGCTCTTCCGCTTCAAAAGGTTGCCGACCCCTGGTATAGAGCATTTAATTAAAGATGAAAAAAGAGTAAATTCAAATAAAATTTTACTTGACATCCCCACCTCTTATCACTGCTCCTTTACCTCTTGTCATGTAAAGAAGCTACAAATGTTCAGTATCTTCACACAAAAAAAGAAGTTAATTTCTGTATTCTTTAGAGAGTGGATCAACAGGTAATTTAAAAAAAAAATTTCTACCCCCTCCTCTTGAGTAATTCTGTAAAAGTGAGTTGATGTTGAAAGAATCTAGTTTGCTTCAAGCTGACATTCATTTGTTTGTTTGACTGTACATACTTTAAGAATCCCATGCAAGGAGAAACTAATCTAATGCTAAACTGTTGTACAGAACTCACTCCATTATGTACATGGTAAACGAAAGATGTTGTTGCTGTTTCTATTCAAGATGTCATAATGATGTTTGATGATGTTCACATCGTTTTTATTTTTTAAAATAAATCAATTTTCTTTTTTTTTTGCGCCCATGTTTTAATCTGAACATTTGAATAAAGTCTGTCAACTAATGAAATCAGTCGGTACAAGACCTTTAAGTTTTGTTTTTCATGCTTTGTTTACACTTATCTGTTTGACAAATACACACAAGCACATTTGGAGTGTTCATTTAAAATTATTGATTAAAGTTTAGTTGTTCAAAATTTTACAGAGATTAAGTTTATCTAAATTGCATCAACAACTTTATCAAGCTTTTTTTTTTTAAATTCATAGTAACACAGTTTTTACAAGAGTTCCTCATAATCATGTTTAAGAAATAACTCTAATCTTAAGTGGCTAATTGTTAGTTAATTACACCATTTTAATAATTTTCATTCAGTTAACTTAGCGATTCATTTTTATACCCAATTGGAAAAAAAAAGTATGAAGTAAAAAATCTTTAAAATATCATATTGAGAAGTCTTTAATCCTTTTATTGTTCCTAGACTATTAACACAACTGACTGATATTCATCACTCTAGATATTTACCACTCTATTTAACTAATCTACATTTTTAAAATACATTTTTAGTATAAAGGTGAACACTTATAAACACTTTTGAATTACTTGCATATCATAAACTTAAAAAAGCTAATAAAATTCTTACCATTTGTGTAGGCATATATATGCACAATAGACACAATAACTTTGTTTTAAACTGGATTGAGTTCAGAAAGAGGCTAAAAATAGATGATAGAACAATGTTCAATTCCATTTCTTCCAGAGAGCATTAACAATCAAGCAGGAAATGGGTTTTTACTGAAGAACCATTGATGACTGAGTAAACAGGATCAGTTTTGTTGTTTCTTAAATATAACATTCTCAGTTTATTCTACACAATGTTGTTTGATGTAATAAATAAACTGAGAAATCAAATTAACTGCCCAGAATCAAGGAATAAAATACAACTACAACTGTACTAGATTTCTTATTAAACTAAGAAAAAAAAAGTCCACGGATAAAATTAAATTATGAAATACAACAAAAGCAATACAAAGTTACTGTTGGAAATATGAAGATAGGATTAGTTTTTTTTTTGTTTCTTGTTTACATTATGAGCTGGATGGATTAACAACAAAAAAAATAAAAATTAAATAGCTACAATTGACAAGGGTTTGATGTAGCCAGTTCTAATTTATTGATGCACTGGATATGATGTTTTCTAATTTGGTGTGTTTTGATTTTGCTACAAAATGTTATACAAGATATAGCCTGTTCACAAGCCTTTGTTTACATTCTGAATGGGATGGATCAACACAAGTCTCATGAGCTACAAACATCAGTCCATGACGCCAGTCATCTGTTGGGTTTGTATTCAAGTCTGTTACGGAGATGACAGACTGGATGCCAAACTGACCCCTCTATCTCCGCATCAGGCATATGTTTATATGTACATTTGTTGACCGTGCTTCATCTCACATTGTTCATAGACCAAAACACTTTGGGTGTTAGGCTAAACAATGTCTATTTTCACAATTGTTAGTAATGTTGAACAAAGAAAAAACCATATTGATGCTTTAGCTTTGTGTAAACTCAGTTGTTAAAGAAAAGCAATGTTCAATAGTTGAGTTGTTGTTTAGAGTTCATAGCTTTAGACAAAAACACTTTGGGTGTTAGGCTAAACAATGTCTATTTTCACAATTGTTGGTAATGCTGAACAAAGAAAACCATATTGATGCTTTAGCTTTGTATAAACTCAGTTGTTAAAGAAAAGCAATGTTCAATAGTTGAGTTGTTGTTTAGAGTTCATAGCTTTAGACAAAAACACTTTGAGTGTTTAGGCTAAGCAATGTCTATTTTCACAACTGTTGGTAATGTTGATGTTGAACAAACTAAGAAAAACCATACCTATGCTTTAGCTGTGTGATAGATGCAGTTTTTAAGGAAAGGCAACATTTAACAGTTGTTGTTTAGAGTTAACTCATATATTAGAAATATTTATCAAGACTCATGCTCAATTTCTTGGTAGAAATAGTAAAGGTGTATATTCAAATTTCAGCGTGTTGATTAGAATGATTGATTAGATTATGAATCTCCACCAGTTTGAACCCTTCAGTATTAGTACTATTTGTTTATTATGGCATTTAATGTGTGAGCACACTACTACTAAACATTAATTTTTTTTTTACACAATTTAAGTTTAATACATTGGAATTAAAGTGTGATGTTTAATTATAACTAATTTTTATTATCTTACTACCTTATCTTGAGATTGTCCTAAGTGTTTGAAATTGGATTGAGAAAATACTTTACCAGCTAAAGTTGTTAAATTTAACATAATTTTCCTTATAAAGAGCTAAATGTGTTAATATTTTATAGTTCATATGCTTAATTTACTAGATATGAATTATCAAAAGCTTTTAATGCTTACAGTAACTAATAACTTTTTAATAGATGGGGTTGAATTATATTCAACCTTTGATTTAGCATGGTATGGCTAACCTTAAGGCTCCAGGCAACCAGGACTGAAATGAGCATCCAGCTCTTAATGGGTACCTTACCAGTCATGACTTTGATTATAAAAGACTCATGTCTATTATCATTCCTCTGGCATAAAACAGTTGAACTTACTTCAACAGTGATTGATGATTCTTTTGAATGAAAGTCGATTGCTGTAATAAGTTAAAAATATATTGATTTAAATGGTATGTTGTAGATAATGCCAACATGTGCTTATAACAGTTCTCTTCTTACTGACCTTTGAACTGACCATTGCAGGATATATATAGAAAGATTCGGCACTGAAGCATAAACTACATTTTAGTTGCTATAAAGCTTTGGTTTATTAATGCTGATTTTATATCTTAATTATGCTGCTTTATTTGTTTCAGAAGTTGAAAAACAAAATCAACAACTATCTTTGCTTACCCATGCTTACAGTTACTAAAACACTGCTTCAGTGTGTTATTACTACATGTACTAATACTTTTGTTATTAACATTATTGAGTTGCTTGCTCTTGCTGTGACCAACTAATCTCAGTGTGCTTGTTTTTGTTTTTATTCCTGTCATCTCTCTCATCATCAGCTATCATATGTGCTTCAGCCTGCTATAGCATGTTACTTTGCTCATCATATTTTATTTCCTGTAAAAACTCAATGCGAAAAGTAAAACTAAAAATTGTTCGGGCATTATCATTTGAAAATACTTACTTTTAAAGTGAGAAACGCATTTTAAAGAATTTCTTATGGTTTATAGTGCATTCTTTTTTTTAAAGATAACTTTTACAGGAAAAGCTAATTAATTTTTTGTGTTGCTACAAGCCATTTGCTTACAATTAATATTTTATTTTTATTTAATTAAATTTTCTTTTTATTTAATTAATATTTTAATACAAATTATCTAAAATTTTAGGTTAAATTTCAGGTACAATTAGAACTACTTAAATTGACTAATTTAACTCTTTTTCTGGCTGCTTATATAACTTTAATACACTGCCTCTAAGCTTAACTTTTTAAAATATTTAAGATAGGTAGAAATAATTTTAAAATGACAATTTTTAAAAGTGCTTTTTAAGCTAATTAAACAGAACTTTTTTATATAATAAACATCATACATCAATTGGGAATGTTGCAACCATTTTTTTTTGACTAAATTAGCGTTTTCAAACTTATCTCATTCACTTCTTGGTTTAAATGTTAATGAAACACCATGCACTACAGTATATGTCAGATTGTATGACTGTCACCATGTATGACTGAAGCCACAAAGCACTACATATTTAACCCTTTCTCTCCCACGTCCGCGCTGTCTTGTCTGTCAAAAAAAACAAATCAGGTGGCAGATACCCCCTTGACCAGTGGACGCATCTTGTTTGACTACCAAGCTATCAAGGAGGACGAGGTCACAGTGTCCAAGGGTGAGCTGGTTCAAATCCTCAACACCAACCACCTGAACATGTACCTGATACACCGACCAGCCAATCAGACGTCACCTGCGGCTGAAGGCTGGGTGCCCAGTCATATCATTGGACCCAGGGACGGAGAGGGCAGCCTCAAGTCAGTATTATTTTTTTTGCCTTTTTTTTATTATCTTAGACTTCAATTTTAAAAAAAAATTATAACACTAAACTTTCTTGACTGAAGAAACACTTTTTATACACATAATGAAGATACTTGAAAAATGCAAAATATAATACGGTATTTCATGAACTCTACACAAGACCGAGGTCTTCTAAAGAATTCTGGATTCCTCATTTTACACATATTGTATAAAGTATACTAAATATTCTCAAGAGGGGGGTAATTAACAGGGGATATAGACTGGAAGGTAATGTCCTATATCTGTGTAAAAAATTCACATCAGTAAATTATGAATAAACCTATCTATCACCTGTTTGAAAGATTTAAGGCGGTAAACTAAATAACAGTTTTATATCCATAAATAGTATGCCATATATATATAGCTCACTACTATATATATATATATATATATATATATATATATATATATATATATATATATATATATATATATATATGTATATATATATATATATATATATATATGTATATATATATATGTATATAATATATATATATATATATATATATATATATATATATATATATATATATATATGATACTTTGCAGTACAAATAAAAATGTATTTACCAGAATAAGAAAGATTTATTTTAATTCTTTTCACATCAACACCTAATTATCATATTGCATGGGTTCCCAATCTATGGGTCACGACCCTGAAGGGTTTTCCAGGGGGGTTGGGTGAGTCGCCAACTTGTAGACAAAACTAAACAAAAAATATTTTTTTTTAATTGTATACAGGTCGTGAGTCACTCAAATAAGCTTGGAAACTTGTGTGATAATGTGTATTTTTAATAATAAACTGTGGTTAAAATGTCTCTGGTCATTAGGAAATCTAAGCAGATGTTTAAAATCAAGAAGCCAATGTTTAGGACACCCCAGCGAGCAGAGTCTGATGCTAAGGACAAGAAGGACATGGACGGCATGAACAGTTTGGAGAGGAAGTCCAAATCACTAGGCAGGGATGGGAAGCCTAAAGTCAAGGCAAGTTGTTTTGTTCTCTTGTTTTATGGGGGCTACACATTTTGTTCATACTTTTTAACATCAAAACTGTTTTAACCAAGTACAGTTTTGTCTGATTAAAGTTTTAAAAGTATTTTAATTTAATTTTTTTTTTTTTGCTTTCTTTACCAATACAATTTTTATAAATGATTAAAAAAAAAATATCTTTATTTCACAATATAGGATTTCTAGACTAATTTTAAAATTTTAATATTAATTGAACAAAATTAAAAAATACAATATAAAAAATACCCACATGAATTGTATCATTTACATTTAAACTTTGTGGTGTTTTTAAGTAAACTTTTTATAAATCTTCAACTAAAATTATTTTTTATTCTGACATTGAGATCTTCTTTATTTGTGTAACATTACATTTTTATGTTATTTTGTAGTTCATATCTGCGGAGCTTGGGTTTGAGATCCCCCCTATTGTCCAGCAACCCTTGACCAGCCTGACCGTCCAGGCAGGTGACACTGCCACTCTGACCTGCAAAATTTGTGGTCGTCCAAGACCTATAGTGTCATGGCGGTACCAAGACTCTTCTCCTATTGGTCCAAGCAATCGCGTGATGATTATGTATAACGAGGAGGGCGTGGCAACACTTCAAGTAAGCTCATCATCTTAGTCATCACCATATGTAAATATAGGCTACACCCAGTGACCACCATAAATAAATATAGGTGACACCCAGTGATCATCATATATAGGCTACACACAGTAACCACCATAAATAAATATAGGTGACACCCAGTGATCATCATATATAGGCTACTTATTCAAAAAGAATGTTTTTATAAAAAGTTTGAAGAAAAGTGTGGTCAGCCCTTTTATGAATCTCAGGAAAATAATGGCAGTTTTGACACAGCATATTCATCTAATGAGTATAGTGTGGTCAAATGGTAGAGCATTGGACTGTTCGCCTGAAAGTCTCTAGTTGGGATCTTGGTTCTAACTCCTGACTGTAGGATGTTCCTGTGTCCTAGGCACAAATGGTAAAAGATGATGAATCAGCTAATAGTAAAATGATTAAAAAATGCAGTTATCATAATCAGGCAAACAGTCATACCAACATAGATTACAATGATTGTGGGGGGTTCAAGGCAAATACTTTTAGCAGGATCTAAGTCAGGAATATGGTTACCAAGATCAGTGGCGTAGTGAGGTCGGGTGTCATCCGGTGCGTTGCGACCCTTCCCGGGGACAAACTTTCAAGTTTTCGATTTGCACCCCCCCCCCCCCTCAAACTTTCGATTTGCACCCCCCCTCAAGTTTTCGATTTGCTACCCCCCCTCAAACTTTTGATTTGCACCCCCCCCCCCTCAAGTTTTTCTCTATATATTTTGCTATTTTTTTGCCTTGGTGTCACCCCCTAAATGGTGTCGCCCGGTGTCACCCCCACCCCCCCCCCCCCTCGCTACGCCCCTGTCCAAGATCAATACTGTTTAAAATCCCTGTGTTTATCAAGAACTGCTGGTCTGGGTAAGTAAATACAATTGGACATAGAGCCAAACACAGGATCCCTTCCTATTTGTAGGTGACAGAAACAGGTGAACTTGAATTCATCTGTACTACAGACTAATGTGTCAAACATGGGGGGTATTTACTGTTTGTAGTGACAAACCTGGTTTTTTTTTCAATAAGTAAACAAAGTAAATGAAGGGTGTGATCTAGCTGACTAACCTGAAAGTCACCAGTTCGGAACCTGTGTCCGAGGCTGTATGTCGTCCCATGACTGAACTGCCCCCCATGTCCAAACCAGGTGGTACGATGCACTGGGGGATGTTGAAAAAACCTAGGGGAACCCAAGCTAGCAGCTGGGAACTTGGGTGGAAGAAATGCAGAATTCTTAACCCTGTTCCAGTCTGCCTGGCTAGTGAGTGAAAGCTTGAGCCTGTATTGACAGTATGAGAGAGATAGTGTAGCACTGGTCACAGTATAGCAGCTGTAATCTGTGTATTGTATGAGAGAGAGAGAGAAAGTGTAGCACTGGTCACAGTATAGCAGCTGTAATCTGTGTATTGTATGAGAGAGAGAGAGATAGTGTAGCACTAGTCACAGTATAGCAGCTGTAATCTGTGTATTGTATGAGAGAGAGAGAGAAAGTGTAGCACTGGTCACAGTATAGCAGCTGTAAACTGCGTATTGTATGAAAGAGAGAGAGAAAGTGTAGCACTGGTCACAGTATAGCAGCTGTAATCTGTGTGTTGTATGAGAGAGAGAGAGAAAGTGTAGCACTGGTCACAGTATAGCAGCTGTAATCTGTATTGTATGAGAGAGAGAGAGAAAGTGTAGCACTAGTCACAGTATAGCAGCTGTAATCTTTGTATTGTATGAGAGAGAGAGAGAGATAGTGTAGCACTAGTCACAGGATAGCAGCTGTAATCTGTGTATTGTATGAGAGAGAGAGAGAAAGTGTAGCGCTGGTCACAGTATAGCAGCTGTAATCTGTATTGTATGAGAGAGAGAGAGAAAGTGTAGCACTAGTCACAGTATAGCAGCTGTAATCTGTGTATTGTATGAGAGAGAGAGAGAAAGTGTAGCGCTGGTAACAGTATAGCAGCTGTAATCTGTATTGTATGAGAGAGAGAGAGAAAGTGTAGCGCTGGTCACAGTACAGCAGCTGTAATCTTTGTATCCCCTCTGATTCAGATTGCCAACGTCAGCTCTACAGACAGTGGTGAATACTCCTGTGTGGCCTCAAGTGAGATAGGCTCCATAGTGACCCGAGCCTCGTTAACAGTTTTAGGTAATTACAACTTGTTTACAGCTGATTGAACAATTCATAAGAGTTTTACTAATATTAATATAATACAACACGCCACTAATGTTTTTTTTTTTGAGAATAGTTTATTGAGGTATAACTCTGTAAGTGAAATACAAGATTTTTAACACAATTATTTTAAGCACAGAAACTGACTTTGTGATGCATATATAAGCAATGTTTTGTCTTTAGTTATCCTTCTATTGTATTTATCTTTATAAATTGTCATTATCTTTAAAACATTCCTGATTTTTAAAAGCTTCCAATAAACATTAATAAAATTAATTTTTCTGCTCAGACCGCCCTGGGCCACCTGGCCAACCTGTGATCAGAAATCAAGTTGGAACAGCTGTACACCTGGAGTGGGCCCCACCTTTAAATGCTCAAACGATGCCCACCATGGGCTCAGGTGTCCCTGTACAAATTCAAGGGTACACTATAGAGTTTAGGGAGGCAGGTTAGTCATGGACCCAGTTTTGTATTCCTATCTGCTGAACTATCTGCCTCTGCCTAGTGTCCTTGACCCAATTTTGTATACATGTCCCCGGGTTCCATCTGCCCCTACCTAGTGTCCTTGACCCAGTTTTGTATTCCTATCTGCTGAACTATCTGCCCCTACCTAGTATCCTTGACCCAGTTTTGTATACTTGTCCCCGGGTTCCATCTGCCCCTACCTAGTGTCCTTGACCCAGTTTTGTATTCCTATCCCCAGGTTCCACCATGTGGCAGCTGGCCATCCCGTATGTCCCCAACACCTCACAAGTGATAGGAGACCTGGAGCCTGGCCTGACCTACCAGTTCCGCATCAGCGCCAACAACGCTATTGGCATCAGTGAGCCGAGTAAACCTTCCCCTTACGTGGCCATACCCAGTGAATATGGTGGGTGCAACTGTTTACATGATTCAACTTGAATGTTAAACAAGGAAGAGTGTTTGTTGATTAGCCTGACCTATACTACAAGCTCAAACTAAAGCCAACATCTATTCTAATGGGCATCATTACATATGATGCCCTGTATAGGAATATGCTAAACTACTTATAAATAAAAGCCCTAATAACCATAAGAAGCTTTAAGAAATAAACATTTGCTTACACAGATCATAATTAGAATAATTTTCTTATAAGCACACATACGAGTCTATTTAATAAGCAGCTAGACTTTTCCCTACAACTATTTTGCTATGTTTTCTGTTTCATCTAAAGATTGCATTATTTTCCCATGAATCTATGAATAGTTTTCTATTAAAAACATCACCAATTTAAACCATGCATGCTACACATTTTCATTACCAGTTCAACCTCCCATTCAGTGTCTAGTCAATAAAGTTTTTTTTTTTTTGCCCAAATATTTTCTTCAATATGTTTCTTGCTCATTGTGATACTGTTGTTCTCCAGAACTAAGTGAAAGAGAAGACGCACCTTGTGTTATGTGGAAGGCAACATTTGAAAATGACTTTACAGATTTGGGAGAGATAGGAAAGTAAGACCTCCATTCAGTATCCATTTTTTATTATCTCCATTAAAGATTTTATATGAATTAAAACACACTGCACATTTGTACTTAAATCTATACACTTTTGGGTACATAAAATAAAAATGTTTCTTTATAATATGCTACCCTGATCTAAAATAATGTGTAGAAATAATTTTAGCAATTTTTTTAAAGTTTAAAATTGATATGAATATTGGATTATTTTTTCCCAACAGAGGTCGCTTTTCTGTGGTCCATTGTTGTGTCCAGAAGTGTTCCGGCCAAGATCTGGCCTGCAAGTTTATCACCAAGAGGCTGATCAGGAAGGAAGCTGTGGAGATAGAGTTCAACACCCTCCAGAGTCTACAGCACATGCATCTGGTCAAAGTCTTTGACCTTTATGAGACCCCAGCACAGTATGTCATCATCATGGAGTTGTAAGTTGAAAGCTTTAGTTTTATCACACACTAGTTGGTCAAAGTGACTTGCATGTGTGGTAGCAATTGTAATCAATTAAATATTTTTTAACTTATATATATATATATATATATATATATATATATATATATATATATATATATATATATATATATATATATATATATATATATATATATATATATATATATATATATATATATATATATATATATATATATATATATATATATATATATATATATATATATATATATATATATATATATATATATATATATATATATATATATATATATATATATATATATATATATATATTAATAAATGAAGGGGACATCATGGCCAAGCAATAGAGTGCTAGACTGCTAACTCAAAAGTCTTGAGTTCGGATTGTTTTTAGTGGGTCTGTTTACAGCTTAAACTACCCAGCCTTTTAAGCACTATTCTACAACCTTAAAAACAAAAAAGGAAACCTGAAAGATTTACACAGAGTTGCCTGGTGGAACACTTAAGTTCCCTTTAGGACCTGGTGGTTCATGCTGCAGGTGAGGTAGAGTTCACCTCTTTCTGTGACCTCTGCATATGAAGGGATACTGTGGTCAGCCCTTTGCCTGGCTGCCTTTAGTTTTCCTAAATGTAAGTCAGGTACCCATCAGAGTTGTGTGGCTTCAAGGACGTGCTACAACTCGAGCCAGGGACCCGAACTCACTGGACAAACGTACGCTCTACCATTCGACCAAATGATCCCATAGTTAAATCTCTAATTATCTATATTTATCCCCATGCTCTACCTTGTGTTTAGGTTAACCCATGGACGTCTACTAGAACACATCATTAGCAAGCATCATTTTGACGAGCTGCTGGCAGCAGAGTACATGGCTCAACTACTGGACAGCCTGCACTACCTACACAACTGTCGGATAGCACACCTTGATATTAAGGTTGGTAGGACTTTGGGGATTATTTGCTTGTATAATTTTAGTCTGATGTTTAAAAAAACACTTTTTTTTAAAAATAAAAGAGTGACTTCTAAGATTGAATACATAGATTTAAAAAATTTTTTTACCCTGCTAGTACACATAAGTTTTAATATAGAAAATAATTATCAACTATTTGTTATTTGGGTAAATATCGCTTAAAAGTTAATGTATGCATCTATGAGAAAAGAAACGGGTAGTTCTAAAAAGTATTATAAAATAATGATTGAAATCAAATTTGGTTTTTGTCCTCGTCAACAGCCTGAGAACCTGATGATGGAGGCGTCACCATCGGCCATGTTCCTGAAACTTGTTGACTTTGGTGATGCTCGTCACATCTACAACAACTACTACATCCACCCCATGATTGGACACCCAGAGTTCACCAGCCCTGAGGTTGTCAGTGGGACACCAGTTGGGCTGTTGACAGATATATGGTAGATGTTTTGTTGTTTGTTTTGTTTAATACAGATACTAACATATTTGGGTTGTTGACAGATATATGGTAGATGTTTTGTTGTTTGTTTTGTTTAATACAGATACTAACATATTTGGGTTGTTGACAGATATATGGTAGATGTTTTGTTGTTTGTTTTGTTTAATACAGATACTAACATATTTGGGTTGTTGACAGATATTTGGTAGCTGATTTGTTATTTGTTTTGTTTAATACAGATACTAACATATTTGGGTTGTTGACAGATATATGGTAGATGATTTGTTATTTGTTTTGTTTAATACAGATACTAACATATGATTTGTTATGTTTTGTTTAATACATATACTAACATTAAAAACTAGTTCATTTGTTGACAGATTTGCTATGTCTTGTAGTCTATATTACAGATTAAAATAGTGTATAAAACCCTTTAAATCCATAATTTGTACGCCTTAAATTAGTTGAAATAAGGTATTCTATTTATTTAATGAATTAGTTACCATTTCAAGAAACAATTTTGAAGAAAAATGATTTTTTTAATTCTTTATTTGTTTTATTTTGTTTAGCCTAATTTTTGTAGCTAATTGTTAAAATTTTTGCCCTGCTTTTCTGTTTCCAGGAGTGTAGGAGTTTTACTGTATGTTTTACTTAGTGGGGTGTCCCCATTCCTGGATGAGAGCCAGGAGGAAACTTGCTCCAACATTGTCAGGAATGACTTTTGTTTCCCAGACGAGTACTTTGCTGGTATTTCCGCTGAGGCCAAAGAATTGATACGGTTTATGCTTGTTGAGGAGCTCAGGTTAGATCAGATTTTATTTTATTGCTGAAAACAAACAACTTTTTTTACAGAACATTTTAGTCATCTGTTCTATGCTTCTTATGGGTTTGTTTATTGTGATGGGTAAAGTCCCGAGTTTGATTCATTGTGAAACTTCACTCATAATCAGAGCATCATCATGGCAACAATAGATGAGAATCAGCTGTGGATAAATGATTGTTTTTTAGGTTCAAAATTTAAAAAAATACAACTGAGTCTTTGAGTAAGGCTGAAAAGGTTGGGGTATGCTGTGAGAGGGTTCAACCTTCTTAGTATTATCACCCACTGTGGTCGTTCTACTAATGAAATTCACTGGTTCTATAAGTTGGTGCTTGGTCACAGACATCCAAAATATAACAGGATACTAATTCTTCCTACTTTAGTCTTTATTCAAACATTGCTAATATCAGTCTACATCAACAACATAACCCGAACTTTCTTCTTCAATACCTAGCCCCTAACTCCTAACTTTTATTCTACCAGAACAACTTTTTTTTATTCTATGGCACTATCTCCTTTTGAGTGTCACATCTTCATTCCTTCAACATACGTGCGCACCAATATTCACTAGCACCATTCTAATACTCAGCTTCTAATAACATAACCATAGTTTATGTGAATATAAAATGTCCCCATGTTTATGTGAATATAAAATGTCCCTATGTTTATGTGAATATAAAATGTCCCCATGTTTATGTGAATAAAAAATGTCCCTATGTTTATGTGAATATAAAATGTCCCCATGTTTTTGTGAATATAAAATGTCCCCATGTTTTTGTGAATAAAAAATGTCCCCATGTTTATGTGAATAAAAAATGTCCCCATGTTTATGTGAATATAAAATGTGCCCATGTTTATGTGAATATAAAATGTCCCCATGTTTTTGTGAATATAAAATGTCCCCAAGTTTATGTGAATAAAAAATGTCCCCATGTTTATGTGAATAAAAAATGTCCCCATGTTTATGTGAATAAAAAATGTGACTCCCTGACTTGTCTGTTTGCAGTAAGCGACCAACTGCCCAAGCTTGTTTAGAGAGTCCCTGGATCAAGAAGGCTTCTGTACCCCGCTGCTCCCCCATACGACCTAAGCCAATCAACACATCCCGTCTCTCAGATTTTATTCAGCGCAGAAAACACCAGGTATAATATGTTTACTGCTGAATGTCCTAAGTAATCTGTCTTAAAGTGTTAACTAATTTAGGTAGCAGTAAAAAATATAGTGTAGGAAGGAAGAAAGTCTCAGTTATTTGAAGTTTAATTAAATATGTTTTTAATGCTAGATGAAAAAAAGATAATCTTAAATAGAATTGTTTAATTAATTTCAAGCTAGGGTAATTATTTTCTTGCAACAATCAAGATTTATAAAGTTAAAATATCTTTTATTTAATTTATTTCCAGAGTGATGCTTTTATTCTCAAGTCTCTGCCATAACCTGCCCAACTCATCAAGTTTTTCTAGAAACTTCCTCTCACACAATACTTTACTACTGTAATTAAGCTAATATTTAAGTTTTAATTAGCCTCTAGGTAGTCCAGTAGTTACATAACACAATGACACCCCCCCCCCACTTTCACCCCTTCCCTCAGACATTAATGTAACTGGTTAGCAGATCTATACAGTTGTAATGTACATCAACAACTGTGTTTTTTTATTTATGATCACAGGCCTTTTTTTGTAAGATATGTTTGACTAAAACACATTATTAGTTTCATAGCTTTTTGCTAAGCTTTACAGTTTTATAGAAGACAATAACATACTTTTAAAATATAGTGTTAGAAAAATAACACTAAAAATAAATAACATACACAATAAATTAAATGTACTTCTTAATTTGTATCGGCCTAAGATATTTTTAAATGTGAGAAACACCTAAATGTACATCGCGTTTGTATACTATTGTTATCCTCTAACTTTTTTTTTTCTTTTTTTTTAAAATGGAGATCTATTGTCACTAGAGCATACTGTTTATTGCAGTTTCAATATTTTCACACACAGAGTTCGTGACAGACAGGTTTTATATATCGACTAAAGCCTGGGCGTATGTTTTAAGTTAGTCCCACTAAAGTTTGTGACATAGAAAGTTATTATGTATTAGTTGTCCCAAGTCTAGACATGTTAATTCTAGCTTCACTGCAACCACAAAAGTAGTTTTTTGAAACAGTAGTAACAAAATTGATTAGAGTAACCTTCTGTGTGTTTTTATTTCATGCTCTTACTGAATCTTCAACATGAGAAATTAATTATATTCGCCCTTTGACCTTGGTGTATATTGTTTTCTCATCTCTTTTATTCTACTTAAGTACGCAAGGCTTCATCAAAATATTGTTTTTATGTTTATGTACATATTCATTGAATACTTTTTTTTACACCCTCTGAATGTATTGGGTAAAGCTGTAAATACATTTTTTTATTGACAGATGCTGATAATTTCTGCCATTTGGACATAGTAGTTTATGTATATATTTCAACCATTGGATACTTAAGAGAGAAATCCATTTAATCCCCTACAAGTTTGTGCAAAACATAGTTTAGACTTTATTACCAATTGTAATCACCACTTCATAGTTTTTTTTTACTATTTTTTTCTGCTGAAAACTTAAGTGAATGACAATTCTTTTTACCTGAAAAAAATTGTTCAAGATAATTATTGTGCTTGAGTGTAACTTCACATTTTGCAGCAATATAATAGTCTATTGGTAGATTTTTTTTCTTCAAATCACTGGTCTGGGAAGTGATAATGAAATGATTCAGTTACTTTAGAAAAGATTTGACTTGTTGGCACACAACTGTGATTTGATTAGAATGGTTGATGTAGGTCTTAGTGCACTCTGACTTAGCTTAAACATGAGTTTAATTTAATACAGAACACACTTTGTTTTTATCATTCAAATAATGTATTGTTTCATATTTGATTACAAAGTATTAAACATCAGTTTGATGACCATTTCATCATGCAGTGCAAGCACATGTAATTTCTGTTAAATAATGAAATTTTGTTAAGAATTTTAAAACAGTAATTCACCCAACGTATACATTTTTGTACTGTTTGACCTTCTCCAGAAGTATTCCAAGGTGTGCATAATGGTCATCTAACACACAAAGTAGTTTAGGTACTTAACTTCTTTTTTATATTCCCCTATGTCATCAGTTCAACTGTTGTGTTATGGGAAGGCTGTTGGACATCTGATACAATTATGTTACAATTGTTAATGAACTGATTCAGTTTGTGTAGATGTACTTACCTCATTTCAGGGAAATCAAACATTTCCATTTCTCTTGTAGGATATTCCTTTCTTTTTACACTTGTTGCTTTTTTGACATAATGTTCATTTGATTTCAATTTTTAAAAAATCAAAATTATGCTAACCTGCTGTAAGAAACAAATGCTGACTTAAAAAGATCTATGTACTCTTTTATTTAAAGATCATTTTATTGTAAGAAAATATAAATTACTTCATACATTTTTTTACACAATAAAATCATTAAATGATGATATTTCTGGCTATCTACTTAACATTGAGTTCACAGCGCTTGCATTTTATATATTTAAAAATTCTTACAAACTGTTATAATATAATCACTTTGAAGATACCCCATGTAAGAATGAATGTCAAAAATTAGATTTGCCTCATCACTTTTTTACCTGAATGTCACAATTGTTTAAATAGCTAGACTACATCTAGATTGATAAGTTTTTAAACCCAAGTGAATTGCTGCCAAAAAACTATTTAAATGGTAGACAACACACTGATATAACAACACTGTACATATCTTTTTATCCGACCTCAGTGCTTTTCATGTGAATATCTCTTTCATATTTTTTCTTCACTTGCATCAGAATTAATGGACTGCGACTGAATTCTTGTTACCGTTATTTTTTATTTCACCAATGTCATATTTATATTTACAGCCATGTCAATCAATGTATTTGTCATCAGCATTGCCATTATGACCATTGCTAATTAAATTTTTAAAAATTCATCAGCTTTGATTCAAAACAATTTGTTCTTTGTAAAGTTTAAAAAGGAAATTCTTAAGTAATAAACTAATGCAGTAAACTGAAACACATTTACAATTGTGAGTTAGGATTCCCATAGAAATCAGACAATGAAAACAAACATTTAGCAGGGTATAAAAATGATTAAAAAATATAGAAAGTTTACCTTCTGCACTATAGATTTTTAACTATTTTTTTTATATCCAGCAGTCTACTCATTTAATTTCTTAATTATTGATAACACAAAGTTAGCTAAAGAAAATATTTTAAACCTTTAGGACATTTAAAAAAACAAACTGCACAAAAAAGATAATTGTTCATGTTTTTAATCCAATCAACAAACTACATGTGATTTCAATAAACACAGTTATCTTATTAATTAGTTTGATAAATACTCTTATTTCATATCAGATATTGGTATTACATGTTTTAACAAGCTTTTTAAAATCAATCCACTCGTTCAAGACAATCCAAAGCCTCAAATACTGAAGGCATTTTTGTGTATTATTTAAATGCCATTAATCTTCAAGAAGCAATAAAACAAAACATGTCATTGTTAAACATCAAGAGAAAAAAATTTCTCATACATGATGTGGAGATGTGGATCATACTATATACACACACATAAACAGATCTACAAAATAAAACTTGTAATGCTATATGATCAAAAGCATTCCTTTGCTGATGGTGAACCAGTTGACAAATACACATTTTTATCTGGCCATAATAATTTAACATTAATCATTTAAGATTTCTCATAAAATACCAAACAAAATTCATTTTAACAAACCAAATGTCTTTTTTACTAAAATTTACTTTTTTATGAAGCTATCTATATATATAATTCTCTTCTGGGATCAGTTAGAAAACAAGCTGCAAGCGCGCCTTTGCAGTCCCCTCTCTTCCTCTCTATCACTACCACCCCCACCCCACCCCCACATGATCTGGTGAGCGGTGTTCACTCTGTTTACATTTTACAATCATAGAGACGACGGGTTTGGTGACGGCTATTAGGGGCAGATATTTAGTTTGAAACGATTTTAAACTTAGAGGAGGTAACTAAGAGGAGGCTGCTTTCACGGGGGGGGGGGGGGGGGGGGGGGTTAGTGTTTTTAAGCAAATATTTTCAATGGCAGGATTGGTACTGTCGAATTCACAAATTATAAATTACTGAAAAGTAGAAAAAAAACAACTAAATAGCGGCGTATGATACGCAGCGGGTCGGCTCGTGATTTATAATCATGTAAAATCAAAATTATTCATAAAAGCCTAATATAAAACAAAATTTCCTTAAATATATTATCTGACTTCCATACTGCCTCACACAAAAAATACAATGAGCATAATGCCATTACATCTCGAAATCTCCATGAACATCTGAAAGACATGTGTATTCCGTAGCTATTACCTAACACATACAGTCAGACATTATGTACATCATGGGTTGTTCATTTAAAACTCAAAGCACATTCTTTCACAGTTACCGTACATAAACATTTACAAGAATTAATAAAAAAAAATCATGTGAAAATATAAACTTGCTTAAATAAGTAGTCTGTTATAAAATGTGTATTTAGCTATGAGAATATTTTTTTTAAAGTTGGTGGTTTGAATCTTTTATTTTTTCATAGATGAACATTACAGGTTGTCAGCTAAATGGTGTAGGATATGTGGTTCAACAGTTTAAAAATGACAGTTTGTTCAATGAACCAGTACTACATCTATGCAAAAGATGTACTTCAACTTAGAATAAATTTAAGGCAAAGACTAGCTATAAGATGAACAGATGCCCTAGCAGAATTTTATAGTTTATCAACAAATTAAAATTTATTTTAAAAATGTTAAATATGTTGAATATTGGCAATATACAATTTACATTCATTACACTATTTCCTAATTTCAAAGCATTTTATTTAAAAAATAGTAGACAATATTTTGTATGAGTATTTAACACTCAAATACTTGTATATAAAAGTTAATTGGATTTAAAGCTATTTATTTCTTAACTTTCATCTTAAATTACATGTAAATAGCAAGACAAAAACCAAACCACACTTTAACGAAAAAAAAAAAAAATACGGCATTTAAGTTTTTAAAAATAAAACGCTGACATCAACTTTTTATAAAATATTTAAAATTTACACTCAAATATGTATGAGCCAGTATTAAAGAAAATAAATTAACCATTTTCATTTGTAAAACAAAAACAAGGTAAGTTCATTATATACATGCGCATCTTGTTTAAATAATGCATTTTAAACTCTACATCTTAATTATTAGAAAGGAGGCAAAGTAAATTCTGACAACAATGGCTTAAAATTATTCAATTATTTTCTAATGGTAGTAGTGAAAGTATTTTTTTAAATTTTGTTAAAAAAAAGTAAACTAATTAACATAAATACCAATTAGATAGAGTTAACCTAACCACAGGCCAAGCCTGTGGATTACATTACAAGTCAAAGCATTAAACATCCACACACATTGAAGATTGAAATCAATGCTATCTCCTAATACCACCCCTACCCCCTCTCCCCATTCCCCCAGTGGAAACCTGAACATTATTGTTGTTCATATTACTAGATCCACTGTTGTTGCCATTTAGAATGCTGCGTGGTGGTCCGCCTAGAGGGGGTCTTTGTGTAACCCTCTGTTGATTGTAATTTTGACCATTTCCTGAGGAAAAAAAACAAAAATATATATATTAACTACACTTCATAAGTATGTTACATAAGTGCAGGTAATATAGACAAATTAAAAAAAAATTCTTGCAGCCATTTTCATGCCTAATTTTTATTATTTTATTTTAGTGTCACATCAAAATGGTTGAGTATCACAAACATAATTACAAATAATAAAGAAAACATGACTGAAGCAGATAGTGAGGGGGAGGACAGGTGAAAATAAAAACCTTGAGAAGATGGAACCATCTGAGGTCTGGAGCCTGCAGACTGTGAGCCTGGTCCACTCTGGCCTTCACTTTTTATACCTGGCACCTGCTCCCCTTCTGTCGGAGATTTCCTTTGGTTGGCTTCCTAAAAAAGAGAAATTTATCATTATCCTTTAGAGCAATTATGTTGCTATGAAAGAACTATTTATAACTATATAACCTCTGACAGGACACTTAAGTAATGGGATCATCCATAAATGATGTCAAACTCGTAGGAGGAGGGGGGGTCCGTAATTTTGTGATGGTGTGTGATGAGGGGGGGTTCAGATGGTGTGACGTCACACTTTTGCATCATAAAAAAGCAATGTTAGAAAACTAATTTTAGCCGTTATTTTGCGTTTTAGAAAACTATTTTAATAAATTGAAATAGGAAATGATTAGAATACTTGATGTTGACAGAGTTCAGATGAGATTTTGGAAACAAATATCGAACTTTAAGAAAAATAGGCTGAGGTGTGACTTTATTTTAGGGGGGGGGGGGGGGGCTGGCTTTTTATGACAATGTGTGACAGATGGGAGGGGGAGGAAAAAATCGTCAAAACAAGCGTAACGTCATTTATAGATGGACCCTAATATACAGGTGTATTTTATTTTTGCTGGTAACACTGTCATAATGTCAAGAGAATATCTGGTTATATAGTCAAGAGGGTATCTGTAAATCTAGTTAAGAGGGTATCTGTAAATCTAGTCAAGGGGATATCTGTGAATCTAGTCAAGAGGGTATCTGTAAATCTAGTCAAGATGATATCTATGAATCTAGTCAAGAGGATATCAGGGAATCTAGTCAAGATGATATCTATGAATCTAGTCAAGAGGATATCTGTGAATCTAGTCAAAAGGATATCTATGAATCTAGTCAAGAGGATATCTGTGAATCTAGTATTAACAAAATGTGGTTCTAGTCCCATTCATTAACCTTAGGAACAACAAAGAATAACATAGAAAATGTTGAACTGTTCACATGAATGACTCACCAATTTTAAAAATTCTGGGTTGGGGTCACTAAAATTTGGAACTTCTATAAAATTAAAACAGAACCTGAAAAAGATGCATTTATTGAGTAAAATTTTCTAATAAATAAGGTATGCGTATAGTGTTGACTGTAAACTAATAAACTTATAATTAACTTAAAGCAAAGCTTACATTATATATTACAGTACAAGCTAATTGTTGACAATGTTTTAGTAAAGAATTATGAATTTAATTGCTCTTTTATAAAACAGAAAATATTTAACAGGTGTTATGAATCTATTAGGTGAACTTACTCTCCAATTTTTAATATTTCTCCTATTTTGCCAGTGTACAGAGTTAAACACCCTTTCCAAACTTGAGCATAACTGGGGAAAAAGACATGATAAATTATTTTCTGTTTCCATAAATGATGTGACGCATATAAAAACATATTTTTACCCATATATTGCATGTCAGTTTCTATAACCTGTGGTTGATTGCTGCTTCAATAATATTTTTACAATTATATGGTCAGCTTTGATTTAGAAACTAACGACAAATTTCACTATGGTAGAAACAACCGCCTTAACTGCCCAACAGTTTACAGAAACTGTCAAAACAATATTAACTAATATAAGTTACACAAATAGGCCACACACGAGTTTGGCTAAATGACAAATGACAATAACGAGCTTTGCTCATTATTTTGCAGTACATGAATTCACAGGTGTACAGAAATTTTTGATGGACATTACCCTCTCATAAATTTACAAATGTCTCCAGACTGTATAACAGATGCAGCTTCATCCCACACAGACAGATTTATAGAGCCTGTCTTGTCAGCAACTTTACATGATCGCACCTCATGCCCTTCTTTTGTTCGGGTAGCTTTGCCTGCCAAGGAACATAACATAAACTGTTTAAGTTTCTTTAATATAGGCCTAATGATAAAAAAACAATTACAGGCCAAAGTCAACTAAGGCTAAATCGGCTAAGGGAGGAGTGATACATAAAATTAAAATTGTTCATGAAACATAGCCCCCATTTATGTGTTTTGTTAGTTTATTTAAAAAGGAATAGAACTACTGCTTAGAGGTATCACTTTTAGACTTTGTGCAAATGAGAAAAAGCCTTTACTAGAGCCTCTAACAACTATTAATAGTGTACAGGAATGGTCACTGGGTGGGCACATGTTATCAGGGGCGTAGCGAGGGGGGGGGCGGGGGGTGCGGACCGCACCGGGTGACACCATTTAGGAGGGTGACACCAAGGCAAAAAATATAGAGAAAAACTCAAAAACTCGAGGGGGGGTGCAAATCGAAAGTTTAAGGGGGGGGGGGGGTGCAAATCGAAAACTTGGGGGGGGGGGGGGTGCAAATCAAAAATTTGAAAGTTTGTCCCTGGGAAGGGTCTCTATGCCTCTGGGGGTGACACCATTAAGTGCCGCACCGGGTGACACCCGACCTCGCTACGCCACTGCATGCTATGACATGTATTTTTGGCCTAGGCCTTATTAATTATAAAAGAAATTACTTACCAACTTCTAATACAATAAACATTATGTGCAAGTTCTTCATCCCTGGTCGAACATCTTTGAGAGCTAAATATGCTTGATCTGGTGGTGGTTTGCCCCTGTCCACTTGCATTTTATTGTTAACTAGATCAATTTAGATTTATGCTGGTGAAATTGCTGTGAAAAATAAAAATAAGTTAGAATAGAATTATTAATATTTTAATAGGCCTAGGCCTACTTAATACTTAGGCCTATTAATAATACTATTATTACTATTCTATTGACTACATTTCTATGAGTATCTACTCTGTCTAAAAGCGTAGGAAGTTGCAATATGTTGTTATTGGTTAATTAATAATTAGGGCCTTATTCTTAATAGGCCTATAAATAATATTATAATAAGTAACAAAAACTAGGGTTACTATACTATTACTTTACTACTACTACTAGTAACTAGGCCTACAACTACATTGAGTAACATTACTTGGTGCATTCTACAAAGAACCTAAGAAGATATTAGAATGAGGGACTATCCAATTTTACATGCCTCGATATTAGATTAGTAGAACTAAATCTATCTAGATCTACATTGAGTATTCTAGAGGTAGATCTAGATCTAAATCTATTCTATACTATAGGGCTATATAAGGCCTAGTATTTTATAGATTTTATAGAAGATCCTATAGAAAAATAGTAGGCCCAACCGCATTAACTAAAACTTTTACTGTATAGGCCTATATTTAATATTATTCAGGCCCGAGGCCTAAAATTTGACTTAATTAATCTTCATAAGCAAACTGAGTCTATAGTAAAATTTTAGTATATTTATTCGAGGTAGGCCTACAATTTTTCTTTATATTCATGTATTCAAATAAAGCACAATAATGCGTTTATCCTTGCGGAAATTTTCGTTAATAACTGCCCATAAAATAGCAACGAAATTCGCCTTGTTCTGTAATATTGCCCCTACAATTCTAGATCTCATAAGGCTACTTAGAATCTTAAAAGAGAAAATTTAAAACATAAAAGAATTTCATAAGTTTAAGTTTTGTATGTATATAGTAGGATAATGATAATGTTTACAGGAATGTTAAGGTCGTGATAAGAAAATTAATGAACGGGCACGTTACACAGTTCGTTTTCTGTATTAAATACACTCTCATCCGGGTAGTTCTGGAAAAACACAAATTGCCGACATTAGCCTAGGACTATCCTACAGTTTATCGGTTGTCAAGGGAAAGCATTCACAATTATAATATTGTTTATCTTATTGTTCTTCTTTCCCTTTCAATTTTCCACCGAACGTTTTGTTACAAGAAAAGTATCTTGATACAAGAATCTGACTGATTCTAAATTAACATCAAAATCAAAGGGGAAAATCAACAAACAATGTAATTCTTAAAACAATTTTTCATACTTATCTAAATCTGACTCTAATAATCATTATTCATTAACCAACGTAACAAAACTGTCGAAACAGAAATCTTGAATCACTGAGTCTCTAGAATCTAGATTCTAGAATCTCTAGATTCTAGAATCTCTAGAATCTAGATCTAGAATATAAATCTAGTCTAGATCTAGATCCAGTACTCTAGTCTAGCTAGATCTAGAGATCTAGATCTAGTTAGTACAGTTCAGTAATGTACTGACACTAGTCACTACTTCACTGTACTGAGGCATTCTTGTCCAGAGTTTCTTCCAGGCATCTGCCCCACCCCACGAAAAAAGTCTACCGCCCCTCCCCCCCCCCCCCGAACGAAATGAAATTTATATAATTTATATAGAAAATATATACTTTTAATAGTGTCCGCCCCCCCCCCCCCTCCGTAGAAAAAAGTCTGGAAGTAACACTGTGTGTATTGAAGGCACCAACAATATATTAGTATATATATATATATATATATATTCAATAAAATATATGTGCATAAAATTTATGTGCAGGTTACATCGCATTATAGCTGTATTTGTGATGTATAGTAAAGGATATTTGTGGTGGGGGAAAAAAGTAATGTAAGCCCTTTATACCAGTTCTTAAACAGCCTCTTTCATAAGCCATTATGTCCACGTAATGAAAAAATGTAAACACTAAAATAGCTATTTCACGGTCAACCCGTTTCATCTTCTAGTATTGACGAAAACAAAATAGAATTTCCTTAGGCCTGACAGGCATACAGAGTTCAGTAGTGTATTGTATCGAGAGTTTATTCCCGGTGTTTGGGTTTAGATTAGGGTCGGGGATTAAGGTTATAATCTAGCTTAGGATTGAGATCATGGTGTCGGTTAGGGTAGAGACCAACACATAAAACATGTTTGGGAGTGAAAGGCCGCGCAAACGGGACGGCGTGGTCGGGTGGTAGAGTGCATAACATGAAAGTCTCCGTAGGACGTCTATGAGTCCATTCATCTTATATAGGTACCCAGAACGAGGACAGTAAAGGCGGCTGGGTATATTGCTGTCCACATTATCCCATCATTTGTCGAAGCCAGAGAAACAGATGGACTCTACTTCATCTAATCCATTGACCATCTGGTCTGAAAGCTTACTTAACGCCACGTGTCAAACATATTGTCAAGATTTAAAACAACACATATAATATGATTAGTTACTTTACCTTCAGGAATATCTCCCATATTAAAGTATTTTTATGGGCGTCTAATTTAAAACAAAATTAACACTCACGTAACAATTGCTAAACTAAGTAAATAAAAGAAAATGTGGATATTGTTTCATCATTTCAATTTACTTATCATGCTTTTTACTGATCCTTTTAGTTTGAGATTATCATATGCCAACATGTTTTTCATGATTGTTGAAGACGTCGACATATAATTTTTTTAAATTATTATATTTTAATATTTTTCATGATCGCTGAAGACCTCTACATATAATGGTATCTTTTATGATAGTTTTTCATGATCGCTAAGATTTGTACATATAATGTTATCTTTATACATTAACACGTTTCATGATCGCCGAAGACTTGTACATATAATGTTATCTATTATTATCCCATGTTTTTCAAGATCGCCGAAGACCAGAGGCGTAGCGAGGGGGGGGGGGCATATGTCCCCGGGCGCCGACCTAAGGGGGGGGGGGCGCCAAAATGGGTTGGAAAAACAAATTGAAAGTTTGAGGGGGGGAGGGGGATGGTGCAAATCGAAAGTTTGAGGGGGTGCAAATTGAAAGTTTGAGTGGGGGGGGGGTGCAAATCGAAAGTTTGTCCCCGGGCGCCGGGAAGGGTCGCTACGCCTCTGCCGAAGACTTGTACATATGATGTTACCCCTATATGATCCGATGTTTTTCATGATCGCCATTTCAGGCCCACCTACATAGAGGAAACCATCAACTAGTTCATCATTGGTCACGAGGTTCCAACATTCTATAGAGTTACTGTCAAATATCCAAAGGTCAGTGTGTTACCAGCGTGTTAAAGAGAGGGACGCTATGGAAATTGAGGGGTGCGCTGTGGAGGGTGCTAAAATGGTGTCGTAGTAAGGTGGTGGGGGAGAGAGGGGTGCATTTGTGGAATAATTCGGGGGCGTTGTGGGGTGTTAGCTTGTTAAACCATGGGGCGCTATGAGTATGCATAAAGTGATAAGTAAGTCAGGAGTGTACTGTATTTTTATATAAAAATAATACCCAATAAGTTTCATTATATACGTTGGTAGGTGGGCTGGGCGTCCCAAGGTCCGCGTGCACATATTCAGTTACACAAAGTCGGTACCGTGGTATTTTATAAAACTCTCTGTGTGTGTGGGGGGGGGGGGGGAGAGGAGGAGATCTAGAACAATTTTACTTAACAACTTTCTTTATTTTTCAAATTCTTATTTTCAAAATTTTTTGCTATTTCACACTATTTCTTCTATGAAACGATATTTCTGCCATTTCAAAATACTTCTGCTACTTTACAATATTACACTACACTAATGATTGAGCGGGCTGCTAATCATCCACTTTCCATTTTATCCACCACGTCTAAGTGACGCTTTGTTGTATGTTGCCCCTCTTACAAAAAAAAAAAAAAAAAAAAACAAACAAAAAAACCAAAGAACAAAACAAGAAACAGCAACAAACAAACATAGATATTGAAGAAATGGTGTTCTTATCTCCATTAAAATTCTTACAAGCTCACTGCTTCGATATTCCTTAACCGAGCCTGTTACACAATCAAATTACATCCACAACTGCTTTGCTCAGTCCCATCTAAACTGCTTTATCGGATTATTTTTGTAAGCACCAGATAAGAATTATGTGCGAGTTATACATATCCCAATATGATGTATGGATAGAGGCTAGTTTTTCTTATCTCTACATTTGAGCTAAATTTAACTCACGGAGATATACGTCATCATAAACAATTTCCAAGTTTTTTTAAAAAAGCTGCTTTGGAAAATAAAATTATAGATATCTAATGAATGGCTAATATTAAATTTAAACTCTTCAATTGGATAAACGGAGCTATCTTGTGTTATTGCTTTCTAAATAATGTAGGCCTATACCGACTCTCTCTGAATAAATAGTTGTATATATATATATATATATATATATATATATATATATATATATATATATATATATATATATATATATATATATATATATATATATATATATGGTACGGTCAAAGCAAAGTTTCGGACTTTGACCGGTCAATGGGAGGCGATATTGGCCAATGCGCGCATTGGCCGACTTCTGGCTTTGACCGTAACACACACACACACACACACACATATATATATATATATATATATATATATATATATATATATATATATATATATATATATATATATATATATATATATAATATAAAGTATTTATTTGTTTCGTTTATGCCTAAAGAATGACTCCTACTTGTGTGAAGCCAGCATCTTCCACGAATACCCTGGGGTTTTATTTGTCCTGATTGAATCTGATTGAGCATTGCCGCACCACCTGTTGTGATCTGCACGCACTTGTATTAGACTGGTTTCCTTATCATCTTGTAATAAGGACAAATACATCTTCACTTTTTTTAAACTTCAGAACATGGTTTACTGAGATACAGACAAGTTAATAATAGCGACTAACTATAAACTGTAGAGTGAAGTCTTTAAAGATCGCAGCGTATCCGGGTGGCTATGAGCCTTCCTAATTAAGATTCAGGCACAAATTAGCTCAGGCGGTTTTTCATTTTCCCAGCTGTGAAAGAGCGTTGACTTAAATAAATAGATGAGGAAACGTGCGTGAAAACAAATTAGCTCGGAGTTAGACAGCACCTGAGCTAAACTCAAATTTGCAGGAGGGGGGGGGGGATGAGCATGAGGGAGGGGGGGGGGGGGGGGGTGAGCATGAAGGAATGGGGGGGGGGGAGAAAAAAATTCAACGATGAAAAAATAAAACGTATGTTGTTTTTTTTTTAAATTTGTTTACAGCATCTGCCAGTAGGACGTAGCCATCACGCACATTGGTGGATGTTGGAAGAATTCCGCTTGCATAAATCTCTTTGTACAGGGGAGATAATCACATACATCAGTTGCTGTTTGTGGTGGTCTCTAGTCAGAAATAAATATAGATTACCTCCCTTGGTTTAGAGACCACATTTCGAGGGTATAGAAGACAAACGCAGTATTTCCAGAAAAAACATAATCTCGAGAAATATTTTCCAATATTAAAATAATACAAAATATTATGTTTAAACATTCATAAAATATTTGCATTCTACTTTTCTGACATTGTACATGAGTGTTCTTGTAGGTTGTATTATTGACAGCATCAGTAAAATTGTACATCGATTTGACCTAAAAAGTGGACATACTGCATTTGTCCTCTATCTATACCCTCGATTTATTCCTGGTCAGTGGTAGCATAGTAGCTGGCAAGTTTGATTTTGTGGTCAGTTTCTGTCTGAGATTTATTTACAGGCAATCAGCATCCGTTAATTAATCATAGAATAGACACACTCAAATAATTAGACTTGGAAACAAATAACATATTTGTAAAATATTGATAAGAATTTAAGCAAAAACAGTCGTACTTTTTGTGAGTAATTCCAAATAACGAAAAGCAATTCAAACGTTACCTCGCGTATGTTAGCCGCTACCACTTTTATGGGATTGTTTTATTGAAATATTTACGCAGTGCTACTGAAATATGCAAATGCCACCGGTGTGGCGGCCCTTCATTGAATGTCCCATGGGATTGCTGCACAATTTATTGCCTGCAGTGTGGGGGTTCCCACA